ACGTTCATTTAGTTATAAAAATTTTCATCCGCTTGTTTCGTGAAACACGATATCGCGTGGTGCACTTTGTTATTCAGAACTGAAGTAACTCGGGCACGTAAGGTTGTACGTTTTGAAACAGGATCCAGAAGACTTTGTACTATAAAAATTGACTCGTTGTCTACGGAATCTACGCGGTACGAAAGAGTTACAGTTGTGAAAAAGGAAGTCGTGATTCATTATTAAATTCTGTTACGTCAATGTTGTTTCTCAAGACGGTTGTAACGTATTATCCGGTGCAATCGAACGTAAATATTAATTGATAAGACCCTAGATTTTAACGAGCACTTTGCTATACTTTCCAGAGGAACTTGGACATTGTGAATCGACTCGAACGTTTTGCAATTAGTGCATTTGATCGGGTTAATTGATCGGGTCGACTAACAGGACAAAAAATGAGATCAAAGTAGTTTAGCATTCGAGGTAAGAACGAAGAACGTTTCGAGCAAGAATTTCGTAGTAAGATTTTCTTCGGATAAACAGAGCATACGAAAATTTTCGAAAATATTTACCCGGAATGTGGGCCGCTAAGTCTACCAGAAACCTCCTTTGTTTTTCTTTATCTTTCAATCGAACGAGATTCTTTCACATTGATTCGCAAAACAACCATTTTTGTTGCGTTCCAAAATAAATCCAAATTCTGATGCATGTATTTTAAAACTATACGTTCAATCGGATGTTTACTTTACCTTGATACAATAACCGAAAACGTCGATGCTGTAAAACGATTCGTAGACTCTATTTTTGAAAACGGTAAACTATTTTTGTGTTTCACGTTTACCGTACGTTCGGCTTCTTCTTCGAACACATAAAGAATACAGTATTGTAACCTTGCTAAGAGGAATCGGTAAGAAATTAAAAATAAAACGGGGAAAATAGAGATTTTTCAATAACTCTGGACAGGAGAAACTTTTAGTTAACAAAGGAGAAAGTGTGATCTCTCTTATAAGAATTGATTGCTTTAGAATGACAAAATTATATTAATTTTGTCCAATGTACACTCTGAGGAAAACAATAAATTTTCACCGTGCGATCGCTACCAAAGTTGGCGATTACCGATTTCCCAGCGTGATCGGTCATAAATTGTCGCGGATACGAGCGTTCGAGTCGATTCAGTAACAGTGACGAGAATTTTTACGAGCGCTTCGTAGATTCACGAGGTTTTGCCGATCGATTTAAAAACGCGGCTAGCCGGTGGAATGGTTTCGAACGGGCGAAATAAAACTGCAGGTTCATTCGTATGCGATCGCGTCGTCGCAGCTGGATGAACGGAGCCGTATCGCGAAACCGGTAAGATTTTACGAGCGATCCTTGCGGCTCGTAACGGAACACCCACGTGAATCCTGAGGGCGATAAATGCGATTGTTTATTTGCACGGTGCGCGTCGATTTATCTGTGCCGCATACCGCGAAAATCCATTGACAAAAAAAAAAAGAAATACACCAAGAGGAAGGGAGGACGCGGTTGAAACGCGTCGATAGGGAAGCATCGAATAAATTCTGGTTTTAACGCCAGCCCTTAACCCTTTTATCCCGATCACGCTTCCGATGCAAGCGTTTTTGCACTTCACAGTCCCTTTCGCGGAACTGGATCGATCGTTTAAATAAATAAGCGATTTTCACTCTGTTCGATGTGATCCTTTTGATTGCGTTCTTCCCTCTTTCGTCTGTCATCATTTTTTAGTATTATCATGGGATCAGATTTAAATTGCAACTTACGTGTGGCATGATAAAAAATAATTATGAAAATGAGAATTATATCTCATTGAAATTCAGTATCGCAATTTTTATCAGTCATTTCCTTTGATGTTAGTTTCTGTTTTACATGTGCTTTAGTGAAAAAATCTCGCTCGTATCCGTCGAGAAAAACATAAAATAATTTTTCGACTCGCATTTGCCGACGAAACTAACGAGCATCCCGATTTTCGAGGGAAAGAGGGTACACCAGACATATACGACAGCTACGAGATTTTATGGAAACAAGATAAAAAATTCTGCTATCGTTGGCGGTGCAGGTTGGACATTCCGCGTTTGCATAAATCAATGTTATCCGAATAGTAACTTGTAACGTAGCACTGAAATACCGAAAAGTTTCGCCAACTGACACAGGTGAATCGTGCGATTTTTTACACAAATCCAGCTTTTTCGTACACCAGTCGAATCGTTACTCGACGAACAAACATGTTCGAACTAATTGCGACAGTGACGAAAGCGTGTTAATTAGAGAGAAAATATGCAAATTGAACATCGTTAGAAATTGATCCACATGATACTTAGGAATAAACTCTTCCAAGTACACTTTCGAACTCTTGTTTACATTAATATTTCATTTTCTCAGCGAATTGTATTATTGTCGAGCTTGAAATCCTGTCTGGAATTGTAAAGTCAGAGAATTAATTCATCTTAGCGTCGCTGCTCCTTGTTATCGAGTCTATTTCAATGCGACAATGAAATCAGTCAACAATTAACTTTCGAGTGTGAACAGATCTTTAAGGACGTTACGAATTCTCTTATTAAAATGAGAGACTACTTCATCGTTTATACTGCGAGATTATCTCCTGACTGTTGACTGAAAAATAATTTGTGTTCGTAACTTGGAAATTTTATTTAATATATTTACCTGAAGTTTTACAAACTGAACGAACAAAGGATAAAGACAGAATTAAAATTCAGTTCCTTCTACTTTGAAGAAATAATTGAATCGAGACCTTATTTGCAATCTCGATGAAACTAAAAACTAAATGCTATTTTTCTCACATTATTTTTGCCAATTGTTTTAACAAACATTTCAAAGAGGATTCAGATTTGGGATCTGAATTTGATGTTTACTCGGAAAGACCAACCTTATTCTAAGAAAAGAAATAACCAAGCCTGTTGTCGAACGATCGAATAAATAATGGAACACGCGAGGTAAGAAATCAACAGATCGGTTCGGCTCGCAGAAAACTTTAAACATTCGAGATAATTATAAGTACAAACCCGTGTACTTCGCTCAGATAAATATCCGAGAACCTCTGTAATGTTTCGTTCGGTGCCGGCACTGAAACCGTCTCGTTTCCATCAGCCTTGGAAATATTGACCGAGTTGCTTGCACTTTCAACAGGAAAACGGGCCGACACCGGTGTGCAACGTGTGGTGCACCTTGATGATTACGAAACTCTTGATAACGACCGGATTAGCAGGATCTCGCGACGAGAAATCCGCCCCGGGTTAGACTCGCTAATATCCTCGCGAACACACGCGACTGATTCACCCGCGACGTTTCGATATCTCAATTTCCGCGATGAGAAACAGAAATTCTCCGGTTCCTTCTCGAGTACTTGGCAAATACTGGCTCGAGAGGGTGAATCGATATGCAAATATCAACTTCACTACTCGTCGTTCAAATATGCATACTTCTTAAATGTTGTTAACATCTTTCATGGTCGATCGTTGCGAAATTTTCACAGCCGACAGCCATCAAGGTTCGTAATTAATTAAGGACGACTATAGTCACCCTTCGTAAGGAAAGGGTTAAGTAGGTCAAGACCCAGATTCGAAGACATTCGGAATAGCAACGGTTGTCTTCTAATCAAATACGCTATTTCTATTCACCCCGTTTCACGCGACGTTATGTCACCAATCTCAAACTCGTTAAATTACCCTATCGAGGTTGCGTTCTCGTAGAACTAAATTAATCCCAGGCGCAACTCGCGAATTGCCTCGGCCATGAAACACGATAAAAATCCGAAAGATAACGAGCGTTCCGTGTGAAGGTCTGGCTAGGATAGTGGCGTTCTAGGAAAGCCTATAAAGTTAAACGTTAATGGCATTAATCGTGTCACCTCCATCGCCTTGACGTGACCTTACTGTCGAACGCTTCCTGTTCGTTCGGGCCACGCGAATCAATTCCCACGATGCTTTCACTCTGACCTAATACGTCGTTATCGGCTCAACGTGGAGATCGCGGTGTGATAAACGATGGATCCGCTGATAGGCGACAGCATGAACGGACCGCGGTAGTATGTCAGTAAAAGGTGCAAAGATGATCGCGTCTCGAGTGTCGTGTTCAAAGAGAGATTCTTTTCCCAAGTTTTCGCAAGTAGACGGGAATGGAACCGGTGATTGACAGACGAGTCATCTTCGATCGGAGAGTCGGGTCACGAGGCAATGATAGAAATTCATCGATTCATTCCACTTTCTACGAGAAGATTCTCTTTCGTGACTTGGGAGTGGTCTGAATGAAATCGGTCGGTTTAGAAGCAACGAGTGCATCTTCCTCTTGAAACTCCAAAGCGGAACTTGTTCTCAGGAGTAACTTAATAACCTAATAACTTTTAAATATAATTAAAAAGTGATTACTTCAGAGATACATCTTCGTTAAAGAGGCTTAAACGATCCATGATCACCTTTGGAGGGCAGATTTGAAACTCCCGATGGAGTTGCTTAAAAAATGAGGTTATTTATTAAATGATTATAGAAAGCAGCATGATAACGTGTTTATAAATCAAACAGGATATCCTCTCGACGAACAAAGTTTCTAAGCCAGATTCACGCGGAGATCGGGAAATAAGATGATCCACGGTTGTGGCCGTGCACGAAGCTATAGATCATTCTCTCGTAGATCATTGTCTGCATCAGCGAAGGGCGATTATCGATGAACAGTCGTGTAAATCACGTCCGGAGACCTTCGATCTCGTAATTTATTGCTGACTACGTAGCTACGATGACAAGTCTGGCCCTATAATAATTTATTGTCAGATGCAATCGTTCGATCGATGTCATTCTTATTTTAAACGTAAAAATTTCTGTTTCTTTCTTGCAATCCTAGCATAGGTTCTATTAAAACACTAATGAATTGCTAATTTATAGACGCAGAGCAGTTGATTAAATTTTGTTTACATTCAATTTGGAAATCCAGAAGTTATTCTGTATTTAAACAATAATGAACGTACAATAACCGATTGTTAATTTTTTTTTCAGCAATAACAAAGGATCCTGGCAACGTGGTCAGAGTTCGCAAAGATCGAGCCCCAGTCCCAGTCGACTTCACCACACGCAGGAAGCAGCCACACCTCACACGGCTCCCGTTTCCGTGAGTACCTGAATCCCTCCGGAAATACGATTATTTCTTTGCTAACGATCGCTCTCGATAACTCTATCCTGCCGGTCTTTCGATCAACCGAGTCGAATCGGTACACGGTTCGCCGATTACCTTACCGATTACCTTAACGCGACCGCTACTAGTATTCAATTAATAATTTTAATTTAATTCTTGACTTGCCAAGCTTAAAAATAGGTAAAACGATTGATATTCCGTGGAAGAATTCTTTCCATACGTTTGAAACGTGCGAAGATCAACCGCGTTCTATCCTTTGAAAAGTTTCTTTTCAACTTTTTTCCCTGGTTCAACTTTCAAGCGGTTTTGTCGAACTTCTTAGGCATCTATAGAGTCCCAGAGGTCGATCGATAGAATGCTTTCAAGCGTTTCCTGATTCCAGCGGAATTATCACTGATTTTCTGACTCGTTTCCCACAAGAGAATGTTCGCTTCCCGTTCTCCATTGTAACCAAAAAAATCTCTGTGCAGTCAACTATCAAAATTTCATGAAGCTCGCGAATATTTCTCAATCCTCCTCCTCGAAGTGAAAAACACGAGTATAGACGATTGTTTCTCGTAACCTCGAATTACGATCAGAATTCTAAAAATTCCTTCGTCACGAGTTCGTGAATCGAAGGAACGTTGATTGCGAGAGCAAACGCGTAACGATCCCAATTAATATCACGGTCAACGTGACAAATCACCGTTCTAAGTTGTTCTGTTTGCGGTACACGGGCCAACGGTCCAGATAAATCTGCGAACTTACAACAATGCGACAGTTCGTCGGCTAAAACATTCCGAGGTTTAATTAAGCTGACCCGAAACGACGCTGGTGGACGTCTGTTTCTAAGTTTAGCCGAGTAACTCGGAAGAAAACAGGCTTCCCTGTTTCTGCTTTTATACCTTAAGAGTATTTGCTTGCATTCCTAAAGTGTATTCTCTTACCGATCCTTCGCGGAAAGTTTGAGTTTGTTTGAAAGGAAAGTAGCGTTAGGTATCTTTTATTTGAAACATTTTTATTTGTCCTTTTGAAATTAAGCTTTAGAACCTTGAAAGACCATTAGGATCAAATGAAGTATACCATTATCCTTGTCTCGGATCGCTCTATAAACCCGTAAAGTTTCATCTAAATTAGTAGGTAAAAGTTCAAAGCGTTCCCTTGTTAGCACGCCTCAGACAAAATATCAAAGACGTCGTAAGTTATCAACTTAGTCTTGCCCTGTTTCCTCCTTTCATTCCGTCTTCTTTCTTACGGTATGACCTTTTCCCGAGACCGAGAAGTTGACGCATCCAGCACAGTGTCCTGGATAACTTGCAGAAGGGGTATCGATCATGGGTGGCAGCTGACAGATTGCCATAGAAATGGCGCGGATCCGCTTGAAAATCATCCGACGCTCCATTGTGCTTGATACAATGTTAATGCGGCAAGAAAAGGTGTCGGAAGGAACAGTGGGATTCGGTTTGCACCTCGGGAATCTCGATGGACGACGTTTCCGGGCTGAGGGGATACGCGTGGCGTCTCGATCGAGATCCAGAGAATTCGCGAGGCCCCGCTTTACGAGCTGCATCAACGTGAACGGGTGCATTCCGCATTCGTGCCGTGAGATCGTGAAATTCTCTTGGCAGATGCAAATCTTAGATACGATATCCTAGCTTCGACGTGACTTCCCGCACCAGCTGCGAGAACCATCATTGGTTTATCCGAACCCGAGGATCGTCGTTATTCCAAATGATTACTTCGTGTCGGTAGATCGAGCTTTCCTCGATGACTTTATCACGCGTGGATACTGATGCATTTACGATCTACCATTGCTCGAGAAAGACTTTCAGAAAGACTTTTATTCCCTGTTATTCGACATTTCGAAACCATAACGAATTACAGAATCGATAAATAGATAGAGCAACATCATGCGAAGGTATTATTATCTTTGCTGGCATGGAATTCACAGGGAGGCTTGCAGTGCCATTGACCGCACGGTTACCTCTAATTGTCAACTAAATGCTCCGCTCTCTGGTGACAGTGACATGTGCATAAACGTGGGAGATATAGTCAATTCGACGCCGCATTGTTACCTGTAATGTGAATGAACCCTGTGCGCACTGTCGTCGCTGTGAATGATGCATGTAGGTCGTTGCCAGTCGCGATACCTTCGCGTCTATACTCGAATGCAATAACTTGATCGATATGTAGAAACATTAACCCTTTCGTTTTCACGTACTTGTAAAAAAATGAAACAAGTTGCTGGATCAACGTGACCTAATTACCAGACGAATAGCGCAATCGAAATCCTTAATGAAATTCTTTCCATTTTACTTACAAAACATTCGTATGATTTCTATAACATTCGAACGATTCGTGGCGCGATGCAATCTTTTCTCGTCGTTTAATTAATGACGAACACGTCTGCGTGAAAATAATTAAAGGACCGGGCTGGTTTGAACGTCTTTATCGTTGTGTAAAGCTATCCAATATACTAAAAGCTTCAACCGTGTTTTATAAGAGACGATACTAGGAACTGGGACGAGTCATAGCTTTTTCCTAAGCAGAGGTAGAAAAAATATATATAGAACTTGGTAGAGGAATACGTTGCACGATTTAATGAGATCCACCTTTCATCGACTGCACCTTCCGTACAGATGCATTGCATGCTTGCTGCAGTTTGTTTATTTTATTATGTTTCCCAGGTACAAATCGATGTACTTCACTTTTCATGGAATGAAAAATTGGTTACAATTTGTTTCAAATAGTACAGCAATTTTCGAATCGTTTTATTATAAGGAATACTAGAGACATCTTATCCAAAGTATGTATTAGATAAAAATTCGTTCGCAAGATGCGAAGAGGTTAAACAGATTCCATGATGGCAATATAGATATCAGAATTATTGAAAGAAAATAAAATTCAAGTACAGTTAATGCTTCCAGTCGTGTGAGAACGTAATATACGCGTTTCTGCATGCATTCAAACTAGCTGAGACGTCTGAGACGTCGACCATTATTCATTCGACCGTTCTATCAATCCGTCGTTTCCGAGCAGGAAATTATGAATCGCGTGTCTAGCGAATATCGAACGTCTGACGTCGCTCTTTGAAAACAATTTTGCGACACTGCCCTTCTCGGCTGACTTTTTGATTGATGTTTAATTAACGGCGTTGAAAATAATCGAAGGCTAACATCTTGAACGATTCACCAAGACACGATTCCTCGATCGCTATGGAACGAAGCTTCATCGACGTTTCATCGACGCTTCCAAAGGTGAAGACAATTTTCAATTTGAAAGCTACCACGAAAAGTTTCAATTCTACGTAGGGATCTTTAGTGTAACTTTACCTTATTATCTTTATCGTATCGATCAGTCAGTTTTCAAATAATTGTATCAACGTCCATTAAAGCACCCTTTGTTTAAAGAGTTTCGATAAATCATCCGAAAAATCCGGTCTTATAGATCGAGAGGTAAGTCAAAATCTCTTCCGCTAGAGTAAATTAACTGAATGTTTAATCAAATAGCAATTGAGGGATTTCCTAGGGAACATTCGAAAGCACGAAAATCGTACGGACGAATAATTCGTTGGGGTTGACCTCGGTAGCCTCCAATTATCGGTGCCCTGGGCACGTTAGAATCGATATGTAGGTTAAAGTCTGCACCAGGTACATGCAAATGCTCTCAGAGAACTATTAATTAAGGTTTGACGCCGCTCAAAAATTCGGACGAGCTTGAATATATTTTGTGATCTATTAAAGTCTAGCGATTCTCAAATTTACTCGTTTAAAATCTGAATTGGAAAAAATACTTCGTGCTGACGTCGACAAATTAGAACAAAAACGTATATAATAATTTAACAAAATTGTACAAATTTTCTTTGAGTCTACTTTCTCAAGTGAGTCTATGAAAAATTGATACCTAGTCCAGGCTTACACATTTTTACCGACAAACAAACAGTTTGTTTCAACGTTTTTTAAATAAAATTTCAAAGTAATTTTTCCACATTTGTTTCCATGTTTGGAGCTGATGATGACCTAAATAAATCCCTGTGCGAATACTGTTCTGGAAAAATGTAACGAAGCATCGCATCGTCGAAACAAAGAGTTTTACAGCCATCGATAAACCATTGCTCGTGTTTTCGAAAATCCATTCTTCCATGGAACCATTCACCGGATACATTTCACATTTTGCTCGATGACTCGGGCCATGATTTTGAATCGTGTACCGGGATGTACCGCAACAAAAGCAAACATTATCAATGCATATTTCTCAGCTGGTAGAATCGTTTTTCCATCGACTGTTGCGGACGAATTTGAATGGTCGCTCGTATAACGGGAACAAAAGCGGGAACATTTTCGTTTGGATGTTATTTCATCGAAGATTTTCGCTGCGTGCGATCGCGTTACTTTCGATTCGATCGAGTAACTTTTATTTATTTCAACACAATGTTTACTGTTAAAGTATCCTTAAAGCAGCAGCACCGATATCATCGCACTTTTCTCGTCGATTTTAATTACAAGTTTTAATTGGCATGAACGCTCGCACGGGGTACGCATATTCAATCTTGTAAAACATTTTTCCCGCTTCTCGTCCTCGTTCCCTCGTGTTTTCTCAATGTTTACGCGCGCGCCGAGACTTAATTGGGAAATTTGCAATTTTTCAAACGTTTACATTCACTGTAACGAGAAACGTCTGATTCGTTCATTTCGAATTCAGTTTACCTCGTAAATACGTACCGAATCATTTTCTACAATTTTTCATTTGAAAGAATTTCAGTCACCGAGAGTGTTTTTTAAATGTCTTTGAACGATAAAATATTTCAGTCGATGTAATAACTGTCTAAGAAGGAGAAAATTAAATGGTTCATTCTTTCCATCCGCGCAAAAGTGAAAGAATGTGTTTGACGCAAAGGTTCCCCTGAAGAAAGAGGGTAGCCGGGTAAAAGGGTTGCAAACGGAAGTAGAATCGAGTGAAACGGCCATTTGTAATTAAAGGAGCGGGACAATAGCATCGAAACATTTCGGTGCACTTCTTGCAGAATTCTTTGGTTGTGCAGCTAGCGAGGAGGACAATGCTTGTCCTCGACGAGTCAAGTGACTGCTCGACCTCCCTTTCGTAACGCCGCCACCCCGTGGACGGAAACCTGGTCCGAGCTCGTTTAGAAAACACGGAAGGTGCATACACCGGGGATCGATATTACCTTATTCGGATCCGTTCACCAAATGGAACGATTTAACCCGTGGATAATTCACTGTCAACGTTTCTGTTCGCGCAAACTTTGGAAACTTTTACTAATTATCGTAATTAACAGATGGATATTATTTTGAACAGAAACACGTAGAAACACTGTTCTTATATAAAGTGAAGTCAATTTAAAAGGATTCAATTAAACGCTCTGAAAATTTTCATGCCACACTGCCACAAATTATAGGAATCCTATTAAAAATAACTGGATCGATCTCTTTCTCTTGTTTGACGTGGAACGATAACCATATTAGGAATTCATGAGCGGATGTGCATTCTCTCGAAACGTTAAAATATCAGGTGTAAATGGTGCTTGAGGAGCCGACTTCTAATTAGCAAAACATGCTATCCACCGAGGCGGGAATCATAGATAGGATCAAACGTTGTTGCAACGTGCCATTTACGCCCCTTTTCCACGGTTAATAGAAATCTTGTCACGTATATTTAAGATGTTTACAGTATTGGATCGTGGTTTTCTGGGTCAATTTTATAAATCAAAGTCTGTGCGATACGCAAAAAAATATATCAACGCAATTTGCCAATGTCCGATCGAAAGGGTTAATAAAACAAAGCCGTTAGTTGATAACACAGAAACCGACAGAAGTTTTGCACTCGCATAATAAATCCAACCGTGGTCAATTGATGAGCGCCGTTACGGCAGCGCAGCAATAACGTGTAACGTATTCGTTATGCACTACATCTCGTGATTCGTGTCCGAGGAAGAAGATGAAGAAGAAAAAGAAGAAATAATAAATAATGGGCTGAAATGTGAATGAAGGCAGAGTGGAAACGCAGTCGGGGGTATAAGGCAAGCTGAGAATGACTTACGAAATGTAATTCACTAACGAGACACGCACGTCGACGTGGAATATTTTTCTATAATAGAGTTCGAATCGATAATCGTGTATAGATAAGGAGCGATCGAGGGCATTCGTGCGTATCGAATCATGGGAAAGATCGTACGCCCGGGCAACTTTCCCGCCTAAGGTTATCACCCGGTTCTGTTTCACCTAAGCCCCTTTGATATCTTGCGGTTCGCGGCAATTATGCGTCAGCGACGTGTAAAATAATTTCGATTATGTTTTCCGTTGCAGCCTCTCCACGATCAACGCTCGAACGCGTACTCCGGCAAGGAGAGAAGACGAATTCCTGGGCTGAGCAAGGCGCAGAGGCGTATCAAAGCGTCCAGCACGCCGGCACTCTTGGATCGCGATGTGGAAAGGTGAGTTATTTTTCAATTAGTATCATAATCCATTCAGTCTGCTAACCGCTAAACATCACGGTAAAACGATTTTCAATCTACGTACGTGGTCCGTTTTTAAACTAACGAGAGTACGTAATAGTTGTTCATGAAAGTCTGACATGATTACCCCAAAATACCAATGCGAAGCTTACGGATTCATTAATATTTTTAATATAAATTTAGAAACATGTGTTTTTAAACTATTTTCATTGCTACTTTGATCATCGTTTTAAAAAAGCACCCTGTTTCCTCGGTTATTTTTCGTATAAATTTGTTTGAAATCGTTTCGTCTGAGCTTATTTTTGAAAATGTTACTCATCCATTTGTACGAGTACCTGGAACACTGGATCTAATCGAGACGCTTTGTTTTCGTCCGTCTGTTGAAACACATTCGATAGACGAAATATGAGTTTCCAAAAGCTGCCAGACTGTCAGTCACGTGAAAATAAAGTAATATGTTTTTTCTCACAAAATTTGTGTACCACTACGTTTGAAAAGACAGGGATAACATTTTTGATACACGAAGATTAATGATGATTAAATTGAAGTTTGTACGTTTAATACTTTCTTTCAACTTATGTATGTTAAAAATTGAGATGTTCTTCTTCAAAGGCGAATTTCGTAGAGAGGGGTTTAAGGTATAACGTGGCATTTTTCATGCATGATGATTTATCGTTTCACGTCCACGTGGGCAACAGACAGCTTTCGAAAGCCCATTGTGGAATGGCCAGCACACGTGACCAGCATCGATGCGCGTTAAATTAAACTGTATCTGTTCGTTTATCATTTTTCTTGACGATTCAAAGCGAAGATAATAACCGTCTGTATAGAGACGATTACTCAGGATCAGTATTCTTCTTTAAACAAGTACCAGTTCTAAATCATTATTAAAGTTACCGTTTCCTTCCTTATTCTTACTTAATTTCAAGAAGTTTGCTCCTCTTCGCGTTAAGTCTTCGCATTATTCTTTTAATTTCGCGCGAAGCACCTTCTGTTTTTCTCGAGGTAAATTTTACGACGACCATTTCTCACCTATCTCTCTGTTTATCTCTCCACCTGCACTTATATCTCTGTTTGTTCTTCTCTTCGTCTGGTGAAAATGATATTCCATCGTTCTCGAAGATTATACCGGTTTCCAGTGAAAAGATCCTTATTGACCCTGACGAATCGTTTTCCATAAAAAAGACCCGTCGTGTTTGTATTTGTCTCGCGCGACGAAAGCCAACTACGTTCTTTCAATATTTGCCCGGTACAATATTTTTCGTCCACGGCAAACACAGCTTCCGGAAGCAAGAAAATCTTGGTGCAAAGCCCATCAGGCATGAAACAGACAGGTTTCATAACTTATCTCGTGCACCCCAGGTGTTTGTGCCAACCAAAGTGACGGTAAATAAGGGGAGAGTACGAACGTAACCCCGTGAAGAACTTCAAAATATCGACCTCGGCTCCACGCACCTTGCTACATCATATTTCACGCAACATTTTACGGGGTGATTATTTCTCCCCTGGTAACCGCTGTATTATAACTCGGCCCTGTTCCTTCGAAGCCTCGCCAATTATCTTGATCCGCAAGAATTATTGCACGTGGGTTAAAATAACCGTAACCGAGAACGTTCGTTTTTCATCATTTTATTTAATATAAAATCGCCAAACTTTTTTAATACAGAGTCAAAAATCATCACACCGCGTGAACAAGAATTTCCACTTTGCTAGATTATCGATATCGGTTCAAAGGGCGACGCGTCGGGGGAGTTAAAAATAGGTTTTAAAAAAAAAAAAAAAAAGGAAGAAAAGCAGTTGATCGAAGAGGCTGGCATAGATCAAAGGTTCCGGGTTGATCGTGTCCAGGTTCGTTTGAAGTGCTTCCTCCTGCTTTCCAGCTTTCCATCGTGACCTCTTGATCCGTTGGACGTGTCTCGCAGCCAGGGTTGTTTGCCGAGACAAGAATAAAGACGTTACTTCGAATGACCCGGCTCGGTTCCATCGACTTTGTACCTGGACGAACATTCATCCGGTCGTTGCTCTAATTACAACTTGAATAGAGAATCTCTCGCGACATCCTCTTTAGTTTCACGGAACCGTACGCCTGCTTCCGGTCTGTCTCACCCTGAACCTTCTTTTTTTTCCTCGTTAATATTTCACGAGCAACTTGATGTTCTTTCCTCTCGATTGTCCCCAAAATAATTCACCCCTTTTCATCGTTAATTTCTTTAGACATGCTTTTTTGAACTCTTAACGTTCTTCTTTGTCTCTCGAATCTGTTTCATGCAGAATTCTCTTTTGTGATTTATTTTTGAGAAAGGACCTTTTTTTTCACCTTTTACAGAAATTTCTGTGTTACGAGTTCAATTTGAAAGGGTCTCTCGGTACCACTTGGCCCCGTAGTTTTATAGAGCCGGTAACAATTTAGCGGAACGTTAATTTTCTTCGCTTCGAAACTTGCGCGCAACTCGCTGCCACGTACAATGAGACGTAGCTCGGTATTATTCTAATTCGAAGTTTTGGGGAACGGTAAGTTCTCCTTTCTTCACTTCGCTACCACTTGCGCTCTGTTTAACGGCCCCGAGTTCCTCTCCCAGACGTGCGAGTGTTTCGCGTCGAAAATCTCGAATTCCAAGGCAACAAATCGAATTCTAGAAGGAAAAGTGCGACGTTCTAAGGTGGAATTTAATTAAAAGTGTTCTCGGTTCTACAGAGTTCTGCGCGATTGAACACATCGAGCGATCGCTTCTGTAAAATTTTTATTTTCCTTTTTGCTGCGATCGATGATCGAGTAAATTAATAATCTTTTTTCGTCAGAACAATATTGAACTGGTTTTCACACCCACGCATACACGTACCTGCGAAAGTTCAATGCACACTAGCCACGTTATACGGTGGTAGATTTGTACAGAGATCGATAAAAAGGAAAGTTATAGTCTGTCCGTGCCACGTGGCCGGCTACATAAAAGTAATAAATCGGGAAGAACGGCAGCAAAGTTTCCCGAGAATACTGTTGGTTACTTTATGAAAAATAATAATGTCGAAAACGTGACCGCAGCTTTCGTGCTTCCGCTTAGAGGTGTTTTCCTCGAAATTCTCCTGATACCTATCCGCGGAGAATTCTGATTTACATACCGACAGCTTTGTACCGAATTTCGTTCTTCGAGTATGTTGCGACGTGACTGTGAAATAACGTTTTCGCATTTTCGAAGCAATTCGGACGTGAACGGGAATACGAAAAATAGGAATTTCTACCCTTACTATTTAAAACTGCCTATAATTTGGGCCTTCGTGAAAAAAAATTCGCCAATCCCCGCCGTAGGCAAAGTTCGAATCGACCAGCGCGACGTAGCAGCGCAAAATCGCAGTACCGATTTCAAGGAAATTCGCATGACGAAAAGGGAAAAGCGAGAACAAAAGGGAACGCGAAGGAAGATTAGCAAGAGAAGGAGAAACGCGAGTTAGGTGTACCGTGTCAAATTTTGTAGGTGGCACGTCGTCGTTGTCGTCGGTACGCGGAGTAAAAATCCGGCCGATTAAAAAGGGAACGAGAGAGGAGCCAGCGGGCCACTGTCACTACAATGGATAAATGGTACCTTTTGTGAAGACCGACGGGTCTGCTTGGCCGCTCCTCTCTCCCGCCCACGAGGAAAGAAGGAACGAGGGTGAAGCGTAGTGAAAGGAGAGAACCATAGAGAAAAAGAGACGAGGAAGAGAGCAACCGAGGTTTTAGGGAGGTGGAGGAGCCGCGCAACCCCTCGTCGTGTCGGTTTATACCTGAAGCGACCCTTGAAATCTGTTCTGGGAAGAGTTCACGAGGTGCACTGGCACACAAACCGTGCACCCACACACGTGGAGCACACGTGAGACTGGATTTGTGTGACCACCGAGAGCCTTCAGTCGATCGTGGCTCGTCGTTCAATGCACTTCCCGTGGAACGTCTGTTTTCACTGATTTTCTTCTTCTCGTCTTCTTATTCCGTCTGCGAATTAACCTTCGCTTGTTTCCCGATTACGAACGAGATTCGTTATTTGCACAGTGAAATTCTTACCCTCGATCAACCGATAAATTTCTGTTCTTTCTGTTTTTACAATCGAGGGAACTTCAAAATTGAATATCATCATTTTAGTGGGATTTCTTTTCATAAGTAACGTGACTTTTGTTAAGAAAAGTTTTGCGGTTGATTATCGCGTTCGATCAACAAGTGACGGTGGAGCAAAAGTGGCGGAGCCTAATTAAGAAGTAAAAATTCTAACCGACAGGAAGGAAGGTTTCCATGAATATCTTTATGTCACGAATCGTATAGACCTACGAGAATCACACAAGCGTAGGAACAAAGTAACTTGGCGTGTTGTACGTGTTAAAACGTGGTTTGGTTGTTGCTTGTGGTATACGAAGGTTTCAGTCGCCTGCAGCCCGTCACTCGACGCATTTCCTGTCTAAAAGTGGTTGCAAGTGGTTCTTCGTGCGTCGAATAATCTCGAGGATTTCCAACCGATCCGTATAAATAGAAAACAGTTAATAAAAGGAAAGTTTCTTTCTGTCGAAAGCAACGGTAAGAAATTTCTCTTGGATTCGTCGAGGCTGAAGTAGCTGGTGAAACAGCTATCGGTTCCACTGTGTTTGTTTTCACTGCGGATATTTTACGTTGAAATGCTTTTAAACAGAGTAAAAAGTGTCGGTCTGTTCTTCGCGAGAAGTTTCACGAAGTGAGGAAGGAAAAACAGGAGCGGACGGGACGAGCGAAGCGTAAAATGTTGCCGGAGAGCAAGAAGTAACGAAACACACCGGATAAACATTAATCTGGAAAGGAAAAACTCGATCGGTTCCTGCTCCGATGATGTGGTACGTGAAGGCTGGCACACAATGTTTTCTCATTAATCTGACTCGAGAACACGAAGTGCGCGAAGTATTGTTTTCAGAAAAAAAATAAAATAACCAAACCGATCTACTTTGCGCCGTTTCAATTTATCATTCTTGCCTTTTCGTTCTCATGAAAATGTTTTTGTTCTCCTGTAATTAATTCTGAACGAAGAACAATCGTTGCCAAAGTGACGGAGTTAAAAAATTTGTAATCAAGCAAAATCTTGATTACTTTCTTTCCTGTCTTAGAATTAAAGTTACTCCAACAATTTTCACGGAACGTTACGAATCGTTCCACGATCGGGCAGAATTTGGAAACGTTCCTCGAGAAACCGCGAACTTCCGTTTTCAAAGGCAGACGGATGAGAGTTTTTCGTGACGTCGTCGTTTCCGTTATGCAGCTTTGGACAGTCACTTGGTCAGCTGCCGTGTTGGGTGTTCAGCTGCATAAATCGTCTGGCGTTCAGTGCACCTTCGGGATCTATCAATTTTACAACGCCTCCTGCAGCGCAGACCGCAGGAAGAAACGGTGTTGAGTTTCCTACGGGTCGTCAATTATTTTTCACTCGCGATCACAATGGTCCATTGATTAAACGAATGATTGAAATATTAAATTGTACGGCAACATCGAAAATCTGTGTCATCTTTACTCTTCGTTCTTACCTCGCCGATAATCAACGAATTAACACCAGCGTAACATCGATTTCTCTTGGAATTAATGATAATTAGATTTCTAACGATGCGAAGTGTCGATAATAACGTTCCATTATGTCGTTTGAACAGTCGACAGTGGTCGGGCGACGAAGAGGACGAGGGGACAACAGGCCACGTAACAACCGAGCATCCTCTGACCGAGGCGACAATTCCCTTGGTCTCTCACTCGCGTCTCCAAGAGCAACCCTCCAACCTGAGTGGCAATATTGTGACCGTTTCCGGCACCCAGAATCCTGCCCGTTCGAGCACCCAGAGCCAGCAAGAGAGCGTTCTGCAGAAATTTCGAAAGAGCTTCTCGCTTAGGTTCCACAAAAAGGGCAGCAAAGAGAGCAACGAAAGCGAGTGTCCGGTGGAAGATAACGATGGATCCGGTCCTCTAGACGAGGAAGAGGAAAGGGAACCGTCAAATGTGACGGAACAAACGTCCCAACATAAAGAAGACACCAACAGTGACCAGAAATTTCGGTTAGTTTCGATTTTTCTTCTCCATCATTTTCACTCTGTAATACATCACTCACTGACCGTATTTCTCGTTGAAGGATCACTTTCCTAACTTTGATGGATGAAGTTTAAATTTATATCGAATTTATTTGTTACAGATTTGGTCCTCTCGTGTGGAGAAGCAGCAAGGAAAGGAAAAAGGGTAGCAAAGCTGCCAGAAATGCAAAGTGCAACAGCGGTGATAGTGGAATACAGATAGAGGTAAGAGAGAAGTTTAACAAACACCATTATTTATTCATACATTAGTCGGTAAGAAGTGAAGTTGAAGCCAGTAGCCTGAATCGATCCAGGAGATACCTGTTTCTCTAAGTTTTCTTTCGAAAGAAGATACATGGTCGAGCGACGCGTAGTCGTTTGTACCGATTCCTCTAAATCGATTTCCTCCAAACGATCATGCCAATCGATGGATCTCTATCGAAAACCTCTCCTCCAGACACGACGAGTAACCGAGTAAATTGTGAACGATATAGATGGTATCTGGTGGAGCATTGACTGGGGGCGGTGGTGGTGGAATGATAGGGGGTGGTGATAGCTCCGAGTCCCACGACACGGATGCCCAAGACGAGACAGACAGCCCTCCGGCCCTTCGTAGACGAGTCGCGGACAAATCACGACCCCAGTCCGAGCTCGTCAACCAGATACTGATCGACAAATTTAAGGTAAAGACTATCGTTCTTTGCCCTGCTGACCCGCTACATCCAATTATCACATTAATCGTTAACAAACACCAGTAACATCGGCTGCTCAAGAAGCTGCGTGGTCGCTGCATCTGTGCTTGATAATGTTCATTAAGTGACTGTATCGCAGAGGGTCATTTTCTAATTAACGTTTTTCCACTCGGTGACCCGAATACACCCAACTTATTAATCATTTTTCTACCGGAAACGATTTATATTTCCGCGAATAGAAAACACTTTTCCCTCTGCGATACCGTTTAACGAGGATTAATTAATCCGAAAGGGCTAACAATTGGGTCTGAGAACAAGAAACGAGGATCTTGAGGTGGAACGTTGCTGCTAACAATGAAAGTAACAGGTTTGTCGTGGATGTTTGAAACTCTGTTTCGCAGCTTTTGTTTCGTTTTCTGCGCAATTCCGAATCCTCTTTCTCTCTTCCAACGATGATTTATAATTGTTACCGGTAGCGTCGCACGTTTGTAATCATTATCGGAGCCACGCGTATGACTGTTTCCTTCGGTACAATAGCTCGCATTACTCACGTTTGTATACGATTTAGCCACGCTCGTACAGATCACCGGCAGTCGCCTGATACGCGGCCAGAGAATATATCGCGTTGGCCAGGATACGAGGAGAGGAAACGCAGTCCTGGTCAGTTGATATCGAGCTGTGCGAGCGAACGAGCACGATTTATGGGACTATCTACGAAACTCGAGGTCGTAGTTCGCTCATCGTCACCTCGTTGTATCGTTCGATCGCGTTTTTTCTCAAATCTACTGGTTCAAAAGTGTGCCAAAAAAGAAACACTCCAAAGATATCAATGGAAACGATTGGAAAAAAGGTGTAAAAATGTGAAAGCCAGTTCTCTTAACCCTTTACACTTCAAACGCTACTTACCATTTGATTATACCTCGCGTGACGATTGCAGAGTGATTTGAAAATATGCAAAATATAGAAAGTGCATTTTAAATTTTCGACACAATTCAGAATCTTGCTAATCCATTTTATCATCGGGGTCCTAAAATTGATCGCAATCCCTTCGTGTCTTCGCATTAACAGAATCCAATATGATAATTGTCGTTAAACGAACTAAGCAATTTTCTGGTCAGACTGGCTTAAAATGTCACGCCCAGAAAAGAGCTACATCTTCGCTTGCTCGTGTCGATAACCGACGCTGTTCTCCTTAGTTAAAATGTCCGTGTACATATCCCAAGAAATTATGTAGGCTGTTATGAAAAATAAAAATGGTACAATGGAAAGAAAATGATTGTTAGGGCAATTGAGCTAAGGAGGGCAGAACATGAACGAAAGGTTGATATTAACGAGAACGTATGGTATGGTACTTTCAGGCGGATCTTCAGAGCCGAACGTCGAGGCACCAACATGTACGGAGAACTAACAGCGATTTAGGAGGTCAGAGGTTACTACAGTGGGATACGAGGTCTGGTTACAGCCACGTGCACAATTACCGAAGGATGCTCTCGACACCGTCGCCCATCAAGACGAGGCCTCCTAGGCTTAGTCCAAGGCACTCCTCCCATGACATCGTTACGCTGAGAAGGTGCGTTTAATGATCGTGAACCATACCGTGCTTTCTCGCACCTTTCCTCTCCCCCACCCCCTCTTTCTTTATCGCAAACGCCTCATTGACTTTTGCCATTTGCGAACGAAAGCCAACTCTAACGAGAGAGTACAGCCAAGTCGAAGCAATCGTCTTAGGTTCAGAGTTCGCGGATCCATCTTCAACGTATTTAAGGACTTTGCAACATTGATTGGGTGCTAAACTTAGTAGGATCTTTGTTTGGGGAGCTAAGGTCCCTAACATTAATTACTATCTGGTGTTGCTTCATTCTAACATAATTTACATTCATAATTTCAGCAAGAAATCAATTCATTCGAATATTGTGGAACTGGATCCGTGATCTCGGATTGTCTTCGATTCGGGATAATTAACTTTAATCTAATTAAACTCTACAATTTTCTTATCGACGTTATACGACGATTCCTCGAGCTGTAATGGAAATACTTAAATAAGAATTTACACCGTCTTTGTAATAAGTGAATATAGCTAATAGCTATGCTGCTGCGAAACTAATAATGAAAAGACCTATCAGGTGTTTCGTTGAACGTTATTTCCTTTTTTTTAATCAAATTGTTTGATTTTAAAATGATTCCTGAATTTGTTTTTCTATTCCTGTTCAATTCGAGACGAATCATGGCACGACATTACAATATCATCAAAAAACAATTCCTTGAAAGATTATCCTTTACGAAATTTACATTCTTTATTCTCGAACCTTTCCAGTAAATCGAGGGAGAATAGTGGTAGGTAGACGGGTATTATAACAAACCATCTTCTTTTAATTTTCCTCGTAAAACAGTTGGTCTGTCACGCGTAACAACGTACGGAGTGGTTCTTTCATAATCAAAATATACATTTTTATTGATTTCATCGTTCCAATTACATTTTTATCAACTTTTCTAGATCAGCAATTTCAATACTGTTTATAAAAGCATTCCCAAATTATAGAGCTCAACAATATTCTTTAATATAAGTCTAGTTATCTTCTGATAAAAATGTCATAGAAAAAAAAAAATGATAAATTATTCAAGGTAGGGTAATTAACGGAACCACTTTGTATACACGTGTATACCTTGTCGTGTGTATATATACTTACCTATTGTAATTCGTTGCTGAATGTTGTATCGATGCTTCTACGTAAACACAAGCTTGTTGAACCTCTCTATCCGAACATGTACCGGCGAGGGAGAAAATTAATGGCAATTTTATTCTGGTCTCAGTAACGCGAAAGGGAGGAGTTCTCGGACAAATTTGAGGCGTTCACTTAGCCAGCCACTGGGTATCAATCAGCTATCACCCTTGATGCGCACCAAAACTGCAGGTAAAGCTTAACACTCGTCGATCCTAAGACGAATCTTTTACTTGTTTGATACTCTGTTCGAATTTTAACGTAGACCACATTTTCCTTTTCCTTTCGTCCCAAGCAAACGAGTAATCGATCGTTCGTTGCACTTTCATTAATCACAAACCGTAATAGTCGGTTTTACATTCTTTTTCTCTCGCGTTGATGCAACCAACTTTTTACTTATAAAAGAAAAAGTCATAAGAGATCGTTATCTTTTCTTTTCTTTTTTTTTTAGTATATTGCTTGTTTGCTTGGTACGAAAGTTCACTGGTAGCCAGTTGACGAAGATTAGTGCACACCTTCCACCGCAGTGGTATCCAACTTTTTCTCTAGACTGATATCATTTTCCGAGAGTGTTCTCTGAGCTAGCATGCGCCCTTGTAAAAATTTTGAACCACTCGCCGTTGTATCAGAACGCACCTGTAAGAAGAGTCCCTGAAAAGTAAGGAATGCGGAACACTCTTGTATTGAACATGTTGATATCTTCGTTCTGTAAAGGTTTTGCTTCCTGTGAATATATGCTTTTGTTTTGCAAGGTGCAGTAGAAAGCGATTACTTTCAAAAGAGTTTCATGAAACAAACATTCTAACAATTTAGCAAAAATTAAAGAACCATATCCTTTTATTTATCGCGCGTTATGTTTCACGAAGCTCCGGAAGGAAGTTAGTTAAAATCCTCCATCAAACATCATAAACGATTTTTTTAATCTTTCGCTGCCAACGCCAGCAAGCCTGCGATGGATGTCTACATGGTGATTTTTTGCATACGATCGTTTTTTTTGTCTCGTATTCTAACATCATAAGCGACTTGAGAAAATCGAGAAACCAGTGAGAGAACAAAGCGCATACCGAGCCAAGCAACGGACGCAAAGTAGATTGCTCTCTCTTTCTTTCTTTCTTCTCTTTCATTGGGCAACGAGATCGTCATTTTTTTTTCCATCATGATAAAGACACGGTGTCTTTCGTTTGAAATTAGGCGCGAGGTTGCCCGGTGGAAACGTCCTGTCGGAAGACGAACAGGACGGAAGAGGTGGAACGTCCGACGATGAAATGATGTCCGATTCCGAGTCTTCCATCGCCTCCTTGACGGACAGGAAGAAATCCTTCGAGCAGACGATGGACGAGGAAGTGGTGATACTGGCTGAAGCTGTTTGGGACCACGTGGCAATGGAACCGGAAGAGCTTGCTTTTCGTGCCGGCGATGTGATCGAGGTTCTTGACAACCTGGATAAAGATTGGTGGTGGGGTAGCTGTAGGGGTGAACACGGTTGGTTCCCAGCTGCATTTGTTAGGGTAAGACATATTCGGTTTATAAGTATGAAATTAAATTTAAGACATCTCATTATTCATTAACGATTCCACCTTGATATCTACAGTTACGCGTAAGTCAAGAGGACACAGTCGAGGATTGTTTGGCGGCGATGGCATCCGGGGGTACGCCTAATTCTCAATTGAGAAGACGCACCAGTGTTTCGCTGTTGTCGAACGAACAAGTTCGAACGAGCGTGGTTCGCGAGCTGGTTCAAACTGAACGCGATTTCGTTAAGATATTGAGAGACGTCGCTGAGGGCTACATAGCTGAATGTCGACGTCGTACCGATATGTTCACCGAAGATCAGATAGAAACGATTTTCATCAATCTCGAAGAACTGTTGGACTTTCAGTCCGAATTCTTGAAGGATCTCGAGTCTCGGATCGACTGGAACTCGCCGTACAAGAGTTGCGTCGGTGAATGTTTCCTGAATCATGTAAGAAAGTTGAAAAAACTTGATCCGTCGTCACTGCTGGATCTTCGGAAATGTGAAAATCTAAATGGTTGTTTAAATATTTCTTTCAGAGGGCTGGATTTCGTATGTACTCGGAATATTGCAACAGTCACCCGATGGCCACCGCCACGTTGCAAGAATTGTACCAGCATAATCGTTATAGCAAATTCTTTGAAGCGTGCAGATTAATGAGAGGTTTGATAGAGATTCCTTTGGACGGGTACTTGTTAACGCCCGTACAACGGATATGCAAGTATCCGCTCCAATTGGCGGAGCTACTGAAATACACGAAAGCTGATCATCCAGATTACCATAAGATTCAGGAAGCGCTCGAAGCGATGCGAGGTGTTGCGGTCTTAATTAACGAACGTAAGAGACGAATGGAGAGCCTCGAGAAGCTGGCTGCTTGGCAATTAAGAGTCGAAGGATGGGAGGTATGAATTCTTCTCCTAATTCCAACGAAATCTAGCAAAATATTTTTCCACCGTGTCCATATTTCCGGCTGATGTTATAGGGTGAAGATCTCATTGAAGTTTCGTCCCAGTTAATTTATCAAGGTGACGCGATTAGAGTTACCACCGGCATGTGGACAAACAATATCACCCTTTTCCTCTTCGACCATCAACTGGTTTATTGTAAAAAGGATATTCTGAAGCGGAACACTTACGTGTATAAAGGTCGCATTTATCTCGACACGAGCGAAGTGATCGATGTTCCCGATGGAAAAGGTGATTTCCCTAAAGATTGATCTACGCCGCAAGGATCATAAGTTGAATAGTTGATATTAATCGTAAATTCTTAACGCGTCGTTTATAGATCATCAACTAGGAGTGACGGTGAGGCATTGTTTAAAAGTATACAGTTGTGTTCGAGATAAATGGTTGCTCTTCTGCTGCCGCACTGCAGAAGAGAAGCGTCGATGGTTAGAAGCCATGGCGGAGGAACGAAGACTGGTTGTTCAAGACAGAAACGATGGATTAGAGTTTCCAGCTGCAGCTAAACAATTGGCCAGGCTTGCAGCGACGAGACTTCAGAACAGGCCGCCAATCAAACCTCGCAGTACGTAATGAAATTGTTTAAAAATACATCAACACTTTGATGGCAGGGAGCTGGTAGTTGTGACTTTGATACGAAATTCTTTACTTCATTTTTATCCATTCTGTTAGATTTTTTCAATAATCTTTTTATCGGTATGAAAATAAAGATACAACGATAAGAGCCATTGGTTTCATAAAATAAAGAGGTCATCAAAGTGTTAAGAATAAACGGCTCAGAGCCAAGGAACGATTCCAATTGTCTCAATTGAATGTTTACAGACAAAACGTACAAAAGAGAATCGGCTTACGAAATACCTACGATGATCGGGCAAGGTACAACGAACTCGTTGGGACGTAAAGTTGGCACTTGGTTCACATTTGGTAGCAGCAAAAAAAGTACTCGACTTCAGCCGTCCTGAGACAGGCCTACCTTCGTACCATACATTGATTTGTGAAAGTTTGACGAGAAGCGCTTAATCGTTGCCTCAGAATCGTGACTCGAACGTATACTACTAAACGTTTAAGACATTAGAAAAGTTTTCTTCGAAACGATTCGTACTCTGATCATCTTGATCCTCTGACGTAAAAATCAGGTACGTTTTCAATTATAAGAAAGCAAACGATCTTAAGCGCTCGTCAGATGTATGGAACGAAGGTATTTAATTTATCTAATCGTTAAGTTATGGTTAAAAAAAAATTGTTATCGACTTGACATCATCGATACGTCCTGTTTAAAGAATGTAGCGGGATAGCTACGATTTTCATTAGTCCAATTCTAGTACTGGTTTAGTTTATATAAAAAAAAAAGAAGCACACAGTTCGATATAACGTGTAATCGCATCATTGACGATATTTATTTCACTGCCTCAAAGAAAGATTCTTCTTCATCAAAACGCTTTGTCGTCGCATCGCAACCACACAACGACAAGCTATTGTCACTTAGCTTTCTCTAGTAAATGATGAACGTTGTTTGTTACACGTAACAGTATAAACCGCAGGTAATACTATTAATTAAAAGGTAATTATAACAATGTACGTAAAGCGAAGTATACACGCAAGCAACGTTTATACAAATATATTAGCCGAGAAAAAAGAAAAGAAATAGGGGAAGAACATTTGACGAAAGGTTGAAAAGGGATTCAGAGGTGGAACGATGAAAGACCAGTATCGCGTTAGAAAAATATAATTGAGAAAAATAATTGCATATGCTAGAGAAACGAACGCACTTATTACTAGACAAGCATAAATATATGTGTAACGTTTAATAGCGAGCTTTTGAGGTACTAAAGAGAAAGTACTAGTCACTTTTATCACAAGAAGTCGCGTAAAGAAACAGTGATAAAAGTTTAGCGTTATTAAAATACGATCGCTTTAGTGTTGTGAGGAATGAATGGATCAGCGATGGCCATACATTTTTTTTCTTTTCTTTTTATGGTAATAAAGACTGACCGAGGTATGCTTATTTCCCGAATGAATCTATAGATGAGTCGGTACGAGGGTAGCTCTGAGAGAAAAGAATAATCGAAATTTATCTGAATATCGTTGTAAACAATTTAACTACTAGCTATAGACTGAAAAGTCTTTTAACTATATGTCTGGTTCGATAATCTTTTAAATAGCCTTTTAGAACGCACATTAAAGCAACAAAATGTTGATAGTAAACATCACCTCTGAGAGATTTCTCTCATAATAAAGCGAACGTGTTCCTTAGAATTTCAAAAAAAAAAAAAAAAAGTAAAGCAGCTACCCTTTTACTGCCTGAAAATTATCATCGTCACAGTGGAAGCGGTAAATGGTAATGTTCACGCGAAGCGATAAATACTCATCGTAGTTTGTACGAAGATTTGAAATTTCGATAAACTGGCGGAGAATTATCTTTCTACGTCGGCACAAGAAGCGGCAGTATTAAGGATACAGAGGTATCGTTGGAACGTGTAAATACTCGCATATCAAGCCTCTTTTTTCAACTGCTATCGGAGCAGTTTCTAAAGAAAAATGAAAATCATCTGAGATATCTTTTAAAGTTTTTTCTACTCTTGTACAGAACAATGTTACGAGGATATCGCGATGAAAGCCAGTCAGCCAGCAAAAACCTCTGTGTTTTGTACGAGTTAGGAACAGAGAACGTACACACTGTTGTATCTATAATAATTCATCGTGTATTATTAAATTAACGTTTCAGGAAAGAAAAACAGCTATTAAATCCTTCGATTGTGAAAGTTTTCAACACTGCCAAATATGTTTACTAAACGCGTCTTCATTCGTTTCTGTCATTTCTCGTCAATGTTCGAAGCACCGTGTAAGTTTAAAAAATGTATACGTTTCTAAAAAAAATTACGATTGATTATTCTCTGCATTCAACCGTGTGTAATTTCGTAAAAGATGAACGAAATATGTGAAGAAAAATGAAACAAAAAACGAAACAATACACAGAAGTATATTTTTGCTTATTTTCTGGCATTCTATTTACTATAAACGACGAGGACAATATGATGACAAAGCGAAGGAGCAAGATTCCTACTCAGACTGTACAGAGATCATTAATCATTGATGTGTAGATTAGACACGATACACATTTGTTGCTGAACTGTAACTCATTCAAGAGTTATTTTTATAGGACAATTTTTATTTGTTCGAACGCAATTTCGTTACAAGCATTGTTGTGTAAGAACAAGTATAATGGCCAATGTGACTAAATGTAAGGAAGAAAAGCATTTTCGTGTTTAAGAGGGGAATGCTGAAACGATAATACCGCCGTATTTGCACAACTCATACATAACTTTTCATCCATTTCATTCCATTTACATGAATAAAGAGGTAAAACTTCTATCAATTGCCAGAGTAATATTACAATTATCCACGTAATATGTCGTTGAACAAAAGACGCACTGTAATAATTTATTATTTTCATTGACCATGCTCTACATATCTAAATGAAGAAAATACACAATGAAGTTTTAACAAATAGGGTAATTTATAATTCGATATTTGTTCTTTCTAACGGTTACATGTACATACATAATTACAAGCCCGTTAATTTGTGTTATTACTCTGGGAATATTGAAACGATTTCTGCACAAACGTCAAAATAATGTGCTTTGAAGCAATAATATTATTAGGCGTTACTGTAATAACAGTTTAGGCTGTTGCATATATATGTAAACGCATATATTTTCCCTTGTATTTAATATTGCCGGCCGTGCGTATATATTAATATTACATTGATATACACGCGCATCCTGCGTTATGATGAATTTAAACGACGAGGAAGAAAAGATGAAAACAACTGATACAACAATGGTATCACTTTGTTTCATGTAAATAACTAGGTATTGTACTTTATAAGTGTAAATATTGTAGAACTCTTCATTAGCAAGAACTTCAACACACTCTAGGCAATAAGGAATTTAAAACTGAATGACATATAACTTTTGGATAAAGATTATTATTATTGATTGAATAGCACGATGTTTTGTATATTTGTATATCTAATTTAATGATTTACTAATAAATTACTCTTTGCTCGATTGTTCACGTTATAAATAATTATTGTTTATGATATGTACAGTTAAAGTTACATAATATGTTTACAATTGTTTTCAAAATATAAATATTTACTCAGTTAAATATATGTAAATAAACATTTTATAATTACTATATTACTATTAATTTATTGCACTAAATTGTACGCGTCTCCCACATATTACTTGCTCAAGTACAATCAAAAGTACATGATACTTTAAATAAAATTGTACTCACAGAAAAATCGTTTTCAAACAAATCATACCTATTTGCATCTATCTTAGGAATTTTTAAAAATTAAGTACCAAGTATGTAAGTCGTACTATTCGATATCTGTGCCTTCAGTTCAGAATTTTCTTTTCTTAATTGATTAACTACTTGTCTCAAAGTTTTAGCTTCTTCTAATAACTGAGCATTTTCATCTAAACTCTGTGAGAGAGTTTCTTGTACATCTCTTAATTCTGTGATATATTCACAAGCCCTTGCTAAAATTCCCCCTTTACTCTGTAATCAAAAAATTTTTCATTCAGGTATTTGCAGTAAAAATAAGGAGCAATATTCAATGTATAAATAAAATAAAAATAATATAAAATATTTTACCTGTAGTTCAAAATTTGTTTTTACCTCAGCATCTCCTGTTGTACTTTGTTCACATTCTGGTAAAAGTTTTCCTAACTTTGATATCCAATTATTAATTTTATCCCTTCTGCGCCTTTCAACCTCATTGTGTGTTACTCTCCTTCTTTCATCCCTCTACATGAAAATTAGACAAAAAAACACGAACAATCGGTGCAATTAAGCAACTTCTATAAGCCATACACAAAAATAAAATGTGTATACCTTCTTAATATTAGTAAGAATGGTTTGTGGATTATCTATTTGAAGTTTGACTCTTGGTGCAACCGATCTTGTAGAATCAGTGGTGACTACTTCATTACCATTGCTAAGTACATAAAGTTGACCATTTATTGGAGATGTTAGTACTTGGACAGCATTGTTTATAGGTGCAGCTAATGACAATTCAGCATTATTTGTATGATTATCACCAACTTGTACTACATGATATGCTACTGCATTATCATTCCTATTAACTTCACACAACTGATACTGTATATTATCCTCTTCTGCGACAGTCTCTATTTCTGTATCACAATCTATTATTTCTGCTTCCTCTAGAACGACGCCAACATTGTCATTGCTAATTGTATTGTCATCCACACTATAAAATATTAAGCATTTACAGAAGTGACAGCTAAATTTCATTAGTTCATTACTTCTCAAACAATGGAATCAAATAACTTTTCTGAAATATAACCTTATGTTGCAAAATCTTTTAAAGAGTTTAGTTCTTTGTTGAAAATGCAAAATTTAAATGTGATTTTATAATAACGTATTGAGTTTTATATAGTTCTTTTAATCGTAAAAACTGGAAAGAGAAAATTTCAATTGACAAATATCAATAAAAAATATCATTCATCAGGAACTTTGTCATTATATTCTTTGATAAAATAAAGACCGATTTATCTATTACAATTTCCAAATAAAAGAAAAAATATACCTTTCGTCGATATGATCAAAATGACTTAAAACTTCCATTTTCATTCACAAAACAAGTTTTTTTAAATCAATGATATTTTATGGGTACAAGAACGCATAGCATAGCACTTATACTGCAGTGTATTTTCTATATATGATGCGTCTTAATAATACAGAAATATATCGATTAATTTTGTTTGAAACATCACAAACAAAAACATTGTTCAAAGACAATAATTAACACAAATATATTTGTTTTATATTATTATATTTAAGAAGTAATGTGGAGTATCCATAAGTGCAAAAAGACTTATTGTAGAGAGTAGTATGCAAGATACAATTACATAATATATAGATTGTATTGTTTTTACATGTAATTTCATAATTTAACAAATCCTTCCTTTTAATAACGCGAAAACATGTCTGTGAGTGACGCTGAGACGTTGTAAGCATGCCCGAAAACAAGGCAGAAAAATGTTATATGTGTAAGTACTCTTACAATGATAGTACTACAGTATCAATCGAGCATCAAATTTTTGATAAAAATTCAAAGTAAAGATTATTTGCATTAACTTTAAGACGTTCGTTGAATGATAACCACTTGATTAGCACCAGTGTTGGTCGCCGTGGGGTTTTAGTCCGTAGGAATCTGACACTCCCCCGCCGTCCACCCAAGGGGTCGGTGGGGGCTCTTATGCAAGATTTCCCCACGTTAAAAAAAAAATCCTTTAAATCTCTGCTTTCCTTACATTCCTGCATCCCTTACATCTCTGCATTCCTTACATCCCTGCATTCTTTTCATCCCTACATTCTTTTCATCCAACATTCTTTTCATCCATACATTCTTTCCATCCTTACATTCCTTACATCGCTTCATCCCTTATATCCCTACATTCCTTACATCTCTTCATCCCTTACATCCCTGCATCCCTTATATGCCCACATTCCTTACATCGCTTCATCCCTTATATCCCTACATTCCTTACATCTCTTCATCCTTTACATCCCTGCATCCCATACATGCCTACATTCCTTACATCGCTTCATCCCTTATATCCCTACATTCCTTACATCTCTTCATTCCTTACATCCCTGCATCCCTCACATGCCTGTATCCTTTACATCCTTTTATCACTTATATTCCTACATTCCATACATCCCAGTACCTCCCTGAAATTGAGTTGAAATTTTTGCGGCTATAAGGCCTGCAATTTTATACAAATTTAGTTCCTTTTTTCGCCACCAGAGAGCGCTGATTCGACATTAAAATTTTAGTTCACATTTTTGCCGCCAGAGGGCCAAAATTTCTGCATGCTTTAGTTCCTTTTTTCAAAACCAGATGGCGCTGATTCGACATCGAAATTTTAGTTCACATTTTTGCCGCCAGAGGGCCAGAAATGGATCAAGATGTAGTTCCTTTTTTCGGCACCAGAGGGCGCTGATTCGACATCGAGATTTTAGTTCGCATTTTTGCCGCCAGAGGGCCAGAAATAGAGCAAGATTTAGTTCCTTTTTTCAAAACCAGATGGCGCTGATTCGACATCGAAATTTTAGTTCAAATTTTTGCCGCTAGGGGGCGCTGAGTTTCGAAAAATTTCACGAAATTCTCAAAAAATTTCGCTGTCGAATCAGCCCCCTCTGGCGGGAAACAGAGGAACTGAACTAACTTACCTTCACTTACCTTCAATCGAAGCAGTCTTTATAATATATTTATTATAAGGGATGCAAAGATATAAGGAATGTGGGGATGAAAGGAATGTAGGGATGAAAAGAGTGTCGGGATGAGAAGAATGAAGGGATGAAAAGAATGTAGGGATGTAAGGGATGAAACGATGTAAGGAATGTAGGGATGAAAACAATGTAGGGATGAAAAGAATGAAGGTATGAAAAGAATGTAGGGACGTAAGGGATGAAACGATGTAAGGAATGTAGGGATGAAAACAATGGTTGAAAAGAATGTAGGGATGAAAACAATGGTTGAAAAGAATGTAGGGATGAAAACAATGGTTGAAAAGAATGTAGGGATGAAAAAGGTGTAGGGCTGAAAAGAGTGTAGGGATGAAAAGAATGAAGGGTTGAAAAGAATGTAGGGATGAAAAGAGTGTAGGGATGAAAAGAATGTAGGGCTGAAAAGAGTGTAGGGATGATAAGAATGTAGGGATTTAAGGGATGAAGAGATGTAAGGAATGCAGGGATGGACGGAATACTGAGATGGCCTTGGCCTATAATGAGGGATTAAATTACATAAATAACTGGAAAAACTAAAATAAATGGGGTCCTTGGCTGAGACCCAGAAGAGGGATATAATCATAAATGTTATTCCCCTTCGATAAGCTAATTTAATAAGCAAAAAAAAATAAATGAAGTAAATTAAATAAACTCTGCAAAACAATTATACCGATTGTGCCCTCTTCATACGGCCCTGATATCGTACTGGGGTATTAAGGACCCCGAAACGCCGCTGACTCTCTGCATACCAATACTATAGCATCTGGGGTGCCAGGGACCCCGAAGCACCAATGACTATCTCTGCATACCGACATGATATCATCTTGGGGTGTCAGGAACCCCAAAGCACTGGCGACACTGTTTGCATACCGACATTTTGGCATCCGGGGTGTCAGGGACCCCGAAGCACGGACGACACTCTTTGCTTACCGACACTGCGGCATTCGGGGTATCTGAGACCCCGAAGTACCGTTGACGCGGCATACCAATATTATATTACCGGGGTGTCAGGGACCCCGAAGCAAGTAGCGAAATATAAGACCTAAAAACGAACAAATCGCGAAACTCACTTGTTCGAGATAGTGATGGGTACGACCGGATCTAGCGAAATATAAGACCTAAAAACAAACAAATCATGAAACTCACTTGTTCGGGATAGTGATGGGTACGACCGGATCTGTAGCGCATGCGCACTACAATTATTTATTATAAAACAAACTTGTAAATAATTAAGAAATTATTCACTCACAAACAATGAAAATGATATATTTGTAAATTACAAACGATTTCCAATCAATTACAGTTATCAGTTGTTACAAAATCTGTTTATTATAAAAAATTATTATGAAGTTTCGGTTCACATCATGATTGAAATAAAATTGCTAATTACAAAAGAACTAATTTGTTAAAAATAGACTCACAATTAATCACAAACGATTTACAAACGAAATACACTAAGAACAATTAAAAATAATCATATTTTATTATTCCTTCCGGCTAGCTTCATGTAGGCTAAGTGGTCGAAGTCAAAAGTTACAGTGGTTTCAATTTTTCTATAGAAATTCTATGGGTCGCACATTTTAGTTTCGGGGTCCCTGACAGCCCCCGATGCCATGATTTCGGAATATAAAGTGACACTGGTGCCTCGGGGTCCCTAACACCCCAGAATGGTATCATGTCGGTATGTTGAGAGCGCCACCCAGTTTCGGGGTCCATGACACCCCGGATGCCATAATGTCGAACCGCTCAAATTACTCAACGACTTACCTATCGGTGGTAACTTATTGACTTATAGATAGATTAAACGGTAGTCGATAAATTGTCGCATAGCTTCCACTGCCTTGCGATAGATGGCGCCAGTGCTCCCTTCGGAAAATCGATCGGTAAGTCGTTGAGTAGTTTGAGCTGTTTGTGTATAGATGGCACTCTGCTTAGAAATGAGAATACATCCTCACTCCTTGACGTCCGAAGACAGACTGATGTGCTTCAGCGGGAAGCGGCTAATATATAGAGTCAAATTTGTAATCAGTTAACCGGCTATCAGTTCTTAAAAATATTTAACTTTGCAATTTGTATTCATAGAATTGAGTAAATGTTAGTAAGGTTATATTTGAACAAATGTAAAACTCGGATTATATAAAATACTTTTGAATTTGGAATAGTTTGCAATTTTAATTCGCACCATTTTCTGTGCCGTGATATTACTGGTTTCAATTGGTTCAGTCACAGGTGACGTGATAATGATTATGGAGCTTCAAGAGCTTCCTCTTAATCGCATACATACATATTAGTGACTATCTATAGTCACTGAGTCACTGTACATATGTTGGATGGACATATAAGTAGTTGCGATGATAAAAAAATCCAGTATCATTGCGCGAATGATTTCTACTATATATACACCTTGTCTTTCATGATGCCCAACAGTCTTATGTGAGCAGCAGAAATAGACGTGCCAGTGTGAAACGCACCAAGATTATTATTTTTATGTCAGTTTTCACTGTTTGCCAGAGGCGCTTCAGTAAAATGGTAAAGGCAAAGAAATTTGTAGTAGTGAAACATTTTCAAGGTGAACCAAAATCAACAGATTTACAATTGGTTGAAGAAGAATTACCACCTGTTCGGAATGGAGGTATTTATACATATATAATTACTCTACTTGATAGTTATCATAATTTCTTATACTTAAAGTAAGAAAATATATGTTATACAGACATAATAATTAAGATACTGTCGTATATTTTTATCGTTAATTATATGAATATAATCATAACATGGAACATTATTGTATTATCATGAGAGTATAGATATTTAAATTATCACTTGTGTACCAGTTACTCAATACTTTTACATAAATAATACTTGCTTTAAATTTTTTCAGAATTTCTTGTCGAAGCAGAATATCTTTCTGTGGATCCTTATATGCGACCTTATATCCAGAGATATCCAGTGGGTGTAACAATGATTGGTTCACAAGTGGCCAAAATCATTGAATCAAAACATCCAGACTTTCCTGTTGGGAAAAGAGTTGTTGGTTATTTTGGATGGAGAACACACACGATTATAAACCAAGAAATGTCAAGTGGAAATGACTTTACAGGTCAAAAACCATATCTTGTATCGGATTTAGCAGATTTGCCATTATCATTGTATTTAGGAGTTTTAGGAATGCCAGGGTAATGATTACTTAAAATATTTATTTTATAATTAGATATATTACATAATCTGTAACTTTCATTTTTTCACTTTATTTTAGAAACACAGCATACTTTGGTCTTTTTGAGATTTGTAAACCAAAACAAGGTGAAACTCTTGTTGTTAGCGGTGCTGCAGGAGCTGTTGGTTTTCATGTTGGTCAATTGGGAAAAAATGTAGCTGGATTAACTGTTATTGGTATTGCTGGTTCAGATGAGAAGTGTAAATGGCTTGTTAATGAACTTGGCTTTGACCATGCTATTAATTACAAAACTGAAAATGTAGCAGCTGCTTTGAGAAAAGCTGCTCCAAAGGGAATTGATTGCTATTTTGATAATGTATGTTACACTAACAATTTAGAACATTGATGTTATATATTTAGAAAAAAGTATACTTAGTGTTTATATTACAATTATAGGTAGGAGGAGACATTTCCGCTACAGTTATATATCAAATGAGAGAGTTTGGTCGCATAGCTGTATGTGGAAGTATTTCTACATATAATTCAGATGCTTCCACTTTACCAAAGGTAACCATTTTACAACCAGCAATAGTATTCAACCAATTGAAAATGGAAGGTTTTATCGTACAACGTTGGGCCGATCGTTCTGCAGAGGGTGTGCAAAAGAATCTTCAATGGTTACGCGAAGGGAAACTTCATTATCGTGAAACTATTACAAAAGGTTTTGAAAATATGTTCAATGCATTTGTTGGCATGTTAAAGGGACAAAATATTGGCAAAGCTATTGTTCAAGTTTGAAAACAATTACGAACATTTATTGTACTTGGAAATTTTAAATACATATTCTTTATTTTTGTTTTTGAGATTATTTTTATATAAACAAAGGTTTAATACTAAAAAATTATTTGACCTTATTTTTCTGAGATCATAATTTACTTCGTAATGATTCCACGTATCTATTGAGCAAACAAGGTAATAACAACATGCTCCGTCACTTATCACTGTTCAACGAGTTATCAAGTGATTCTCTTATAAGTTATCAGTAATCGCAATTTGTGAAAGCAGTACAAACACAACTAAAGATTCCTTTAATTGTTATTTAACAGTTACCTAAATTTATACACGTATATAAACCATGAAAAGCGATTGGCATAGACAGTTTTATTGCAATATATTACACAGATTATAATGCATCACAATGAATAATTACATGTGGTTTCTCGATGCCACGAGGGCATTATTCTTGGATCTTAGGTACACATCTTAGGAATTTTAACGTCTAGTACAACCTTATAGTATACCTTACAGATAATTTCGCAAAACTTACATCAATTTCTAATTACAATATTATACATTTGTTGATTTAGTTGAAACTCTGTTACGTCAAAGGTGATAAAAGACAAAATTGAAATTCAATTGTGAGCAAGAAAAGAATCAAGTGCAACTGACAAATTGAAAAGGCAGTTGTTTTGAATGTCATTCAGAAACATTATTCGAAGTAGAAGTAGAATATAATTATCGGAAAACCACTAGATATAATTATCTTGAAGTAAACGAAGAAATATAATTAATGCAATTTTTCAATGTCCAAGGTAAACGATTTGAATTTAATATCTTCATAGTTATTTATAGCAAAAATGAGGTAAACATATGATCAGAGTTTCCTGTTTCATTAATTTAAGTTACGTATTCTATGAGATCCGTCTTTTTGCGAATCAGTCGTAGTACGATGAAACTTATATATGTACAATGACTGTCGGTAAATGCTCGTCGACGTGTCAATTTTTGTGATATCCAGTTCGTTGACGCAATAGTTATAATCACTTGTTTACGCCGTATTTATTTTCATTTGATACAACGTGCAATGATCTAAAAATTACTTTGATCTTTTAAAGATACGACACACGACTAAGATCGAAGTTCAAACCGCTATTCCATGTTTAAATTTCACCGAATGACATTTTATTTTTATAAATTTATACAATATAATAAATGAAATTTTCTTCTTGTTTATTTCACATGTGTTTTCATTTCTTAAGAACCTGAACCATCATTTTGATTATTTTTCCAATTTTACTATGATCTTTATCGCGTTCCATATTTTTAATGATTTATTCTTGATCATCCGGCATAAACCAGCAGACAATGCGTCAAGCTGCGAATAGTGAAAGTACATTTACACGAAGGTGAGTTTCACTGTTCAAAAAAAAAAAAAAAAATAATAAAAAGGAAACTATCAATACATTCGCTAAATACAAAGATCATGTCACGGTCGAAAAATCAGAAATTATGGAAGCTTCAGATTTCAGGATACACTTTGGACCACTCCATGGTCCATTGTAGAGTGTCGAGGAAAAGGAAACCTTCGAGGAGGACCGGGAACCCGGAGAACGAGAGACCTAGGACAGAGCCAAGAACCTCGAAACCTATGAACCCCTATGGGGGTGGATTTTCCTTAAGGAAACCTACTTACGTTGCTCGACACTCTGCAATGAATCACCAAAAATTTGTTCATCTCTAATCTTGACTAGTGTATCCCTTATCCATGACGAATGACTACAATTCCATTGAACAGATTAATATCAGATCTCTTTACAACTTTTTGATCAGGAACACAGATCAGTTCACTTGATTCTTTGTTCGCTAAGTGTTCTCTGTGAATCCTGAATGGTGAGTCCATCGAGTAAACGTGTCCTTGTCAGGAGGATCTCGACTAGTATTTCATCACGTGACGTTGATTTCCTCATCCTCCTCGTTCTCCGTTTGCTCTTCCGGACGCTGAGGACTCGTCAATGGACTCACATCGCTCAAATCCATTCTCGGCCTGTCTCCATCGGCGTCGCTTAAGTCAGGATTTGGATTATTCTTGTTTGGTAACGTTTGCTCCCGTGAACCCCCTGTTGCAAGCAATTCTCTCTCCTTGCTATTTCGCCATTTCATTCGTCGATTTTGAAACCAGATTTTCACCTGTAAATATAACAGATTAAATTAGAAATTAGAAAATTAGAATTAATATTACATTCTCTGGGTTCGGGGGAATAAGAATAAGGCCAAGGTAAGTCTGGTCCATCGTAAAAGGCGACTTAAAGGACAACCACTTACAGGGATAACTTTCTCGATATTAATAATATTGATAGTAATATTTATTTAAGATTAGAAAGTCAATGGGTCGTAAGGTAATTCAATGCTTAAATAATAGCTAAGAGAATAGGGAGGAATTCGATTCAATGGTATCGAACAAATGGATTCTCTGCACCCTCGTCTATTAACGAGCATTAAATAAAGATTACATTGGGAAAGCAGTCGGCCCCTTTTCTCTTCCTAACGTGTCGGTGATTTCAATTCCGTGTCTCCCTTGGCTCCTCTAAAACTGTTCCCATTACACTCGTAAAACTAAATTTCTGATGCCACTAAAATTATCAAAATTAATGTGAAATCGAAACTTGCATTTCTAAAAGTCATTTTTGTAAATAGCATTCATTAAGTTAACGAATTCGCACGAACACCCCATCGTTTCCTCTTCCGAGGTTCATAGATGTGCACGAGGGAGGGGGTTAAAGAAAGGGTGCGTCATTTTGGTCTATTAAAGAGCATGCATTCAACGAACGCGCTAACGTCAAACGCACATGAACTCTGAAAATTTTCTGCCTCTTCACCCTTCGTCCCTTTTCCACCCCTGTTTTCACTTCTCTCTTTCGCGGCCACCCTGTTTCTCCGGCCCCGTGTTCGCCACTTTATTGTAGGTAGCCTTAAGCCACGTCGTTGATCCCGCCGTGGATTGATTTACCTAAACTGCTTTCCGAATTTTCATTGGTCACCGGTGTGTGTGCATTTGACATCCTCCTGGACCTGAATGTTCCCTCTAACCAGCCCCCGACACCTCAATAAGGCGTTGAACCTTGCATAATCGATCGAAATGATGTATACATTTTGGGCAGTATCCATTTTCGTAATTACACTTTCGATTATTATACTTTTCTAATTAACACCTCGATTGCCATGTCAGGAATATTTAGGTGGCACTTGAATTTTCATGTAAAACCCATGTTATTAGAAAATTTTTTATTTATATAAGTAGAAATGGATGAAAGGGTGGAAAAAAAAGAAGAAATATTTTTTCAATTTGTAGAATTTATAAAAATGATCGAACGGTATGTGAGCAACGCAGGAAAAGAACGAAATCGGTGAACAACAGATTTCAACTTCTACGGAAAAGCTTCGCGTCTTTCTCACCGAACAAAGCCGCTTTGTTACTTTTGTTATATAGTTCCCGGACCTGTCTGCCGCTGACGGGACAATCAATCACCGTCGCCACTCGCAAAACGTAAAACGAAAAGAACAAGAAGGATCGGAGCCAGGGCTCGATCGAAAGTACGAATCCCTTCGTTTCCCTGAAATGCATCATTCCGTAAATTACAATTAATAATCTCAGCGCTATATTATGCGCAGGGACGTAATAAAATATTACAGAATTCTTCAAAGATATTCAGAGGGATACGTCTTTTTTCGCGTGGCAAAACGATCCCTTCTTCTTTTGATTTTCGAGCATCCTCGGATGGAGTGTTCACCCCCAAACGAGCATCTTCAATTCGATATCATCCCCTAATCCCCAGAAGCATCGAATTTCAACAGACTTACGCCTTTTAAAAGGCTGAACGTTTATGTTATTTGCCTGATTTTTTAACTCCAGAATTGGTGAAAAAAAAAAAAAACGGAAAATCTATTACAACGAATGTCTACCCTGAATTTGCAGAGTTTCAATCTATACGAATAACGAACTATCAATTGCAAATCGTTTAATGGAGTATAAAACAAAGCTTTTCAGAACGATCGTTCAGTTAAATTGATGGTAAAAAAATGTTCCAGGAAATTCGACATTTCTGAACCGTATGAAACTCTCCAAATAAATAAATTACTAATGGAAAACCAATTAAGCAACTGAAAAATTTTCTACAGTACAGCGTACTAATTATTACTATCCAAATGCAAGTTTCATTTAATCCACATTTTACCCTTTTCACCCTCTGGAGTCACGTTTAATGGTTAACTTATCGGCCACACTTCCACGCGTTCCTCTTATCCGCCAGCTAAATCCTTAACGAGCCGGGTCACGATTAAGCTTGTCGATACCAAAGGAACCGGAAGAGTGCGATAACAAGGTGACAGAGTCGCTATAAAATCCTCCGTATCCCGGGAAACCACTTCTAAATCATTTTCGCGGTGGAATTCGTAAAAAGAATAATTCAGCTGGAGGGATGAAACGAGAGTCTTTAAAAAAAAAAAAAAAAAAAGGAACCGGAAGCGTTTAAGTAGCAGTCGGTTACCTAAGGATCGCCATACGAAAAGGATCGGGCATAACGACGACATCCGAAACGCGTTATATAGAGTGGGTAATCGTTAAACGATTGGCTGCAGCCACCCCGTCGGACTCTCCTTCGCCAGCCACCCTTTAACCCTCTCTATCCCTCGCGTACACGATGGTAAGCCGGGCCGAAAGTTCTCCTCCGTTCAACTCCCTTCCTCTGTACCCACGCGACCGCCCTTACTTCCGCCTCTGCCCACCCTCGATTCTCTCCCACCTCCAAATACGTCCACCCCTTCTGGCACCCTCTTTATCTCCCTCCGTCTCTCTTCCACGTAGGTCTACGGATAGGTGGTGCCGTGCTGGCGCCATCTGGTGCAGTTTAATAAAAGACGATCGATTATGACGTCGGCCTCAGAGCAACCCCCTCAGTCTCAACCCCCTTTACGGTTCCTGTCCTTCTCCTTCCGATTCTCCTTCTTCTTCTTCGCGGGGGCTCTTTTTCTTTTTCCCTCCTCGGTGCTCGTTCGCCACCACCGCCACCCTCGCGATACCACCCCTCGGTGGAGAGAGAGCGAGGAGATCGAAGGGCGGAGAAAAGGGACAAGAGCCGCGAACCGGCTACGAAGCGGGACGTTTCTTTCCTTTTTTTTTTTTTTTTCTTTGGAGGGGTTGGTGCGGTCAACGGAGGGGTGGAAAAAAAATGAAAGGCACAAAGCTGCCGCGGCGCGATCCTGCGGCCGAAGGGTTGCCTGATGTATGAAAAGGAAGTCGACTCTTAATAGAGGGGAGAGAATCGACCGTCTGGATTTATCGGTGAACCGCGTTCGATCGGTGTTGTTTTAATTGAAGCGACCCCTTCCACCGTCTCTGATAAATGATAGTGTTAATACGTTTACCCTTGAATCTATGCTACCACTTAATTACTTCTTTTCTGTGGTTTATATCGGACTAGGAGAAATGTTACCTATGTAAAGGAAATCAGTGTCGATTACTTTAGTCGGGGAGGCTGGGAATTTGAAATTCGTCTATGTATATGTCCGGGTTATAACAGGGTACAGCTGTGGGTGGTTACGAGCTGGCACGAATGGGAAGTGATATTTCCGGACGATATGTCGTACCAGCAATACCGATGCATTCGCTCGCGACACGTGAAGATGTCTAAAGGTCGGTCTCGAGGATATCTGACAGCGCGACAACACGATTTCCGATATCTTCACAGTAATTTTCTCGTATCATTATTCAAGGAAATCTTTTGAATACAGAATTTTCCAACGACAAGAATATTCTAAGAAAATCAAAAGAATTTTCATGGAAATTTATTTCCTTTCCATGGAGTTTTCTCCTATCAGAATTTTCTGAATATTGAAAAGATTTTCCAGGAGGAAAATTAAAAGAATTTCCATGGAAATTTATTTTCTTCTATGCAACAATGTTTACGTAGAAACGAGAAACCTATGGGTGGATTACGTTCGATCGTCGGGTTATCGGCGTCGAAAGGAGACGGTGCACTTTATCCGGCAAAGTGATTAAAGTTGATTCACAAAAGGATGAATCTATATGCATACCACGGTATTGTATATTCATGGTTTCTTAGTTCGTCTGCCTTCGGGGGTAGCGATGCTTTCTCAAAGTAAAATCCATAATGCATGAAGGTCCACGGGGCTAAGCCGAACAGCTTAAGCCGTAAGATATTGCGCGACGTTATATTCATGTTATGCTCTGTAAGAGGCAGCTTTGTTTTTAATATCCGACGCAGATTGTACGCGGCTAACGTTTAGGGTAACGTTACGACCAACTATTCCCGGAGACTCGTTCAACTTTGACCCCGTTTGAAAAGTGTCGAGAAAAGATCAACGCTTTTTTGTGAAATATATGTGAGAAAGTAGTTTGTGGCTGGCTGCATGGAATATTCTCGCATCTGATCAGGGTAGAAGATCGAGTAGCGAGTAAATAATGTAATGGTCCTTTAGCGGAGAACAGTGACCGATTGTTCTAGGGAAAAGCTTGTCCAAAGTAAACTCGATGCAGAAGCGTCTCTCTAATGGCTACAAATTGATTTGACCAACGGAATCTTCGGAAACCTTATATTCGTTTGAAACGCAAGCCTAATGGTCGATCTATCTAACGTGTCAGTGTCAGTTTCGTGGGAAAGAACAAACTGTTCCTCCTTTACTTGTATACCTATCCAATGAAGTATCTGGATCCTCGAGTAATCAGACAAATTTATTTGTACACATTAATTGTTAAATCTAGATCGATTTATCTTTCGACCTAAAGAAAGTGAATTATTATTTCTGAAAAATACATTTTGGGGAAATTGGAATAACAATTAGAAAAATATTTAAAGACAAATGAAGAAGTTTAAAATATTAGAATGATTCATAATTCAATTAAAGAAATAAGGATAATCGAGGGGGATGAAATTGGACTGACGACATCCTATCGTCTTAATCAAACTTCAGATTAAGGATATACTTGGTAGAAGGAGAAGCTTCCTTTTTTTTTTCAGGAACGATTAAATAGGCTGTCAGTAGCATCGAGTGCTAGCTATTCTTCGCACGATCTTTTTAATTTGCTAAATCTTCGATCGAAGGAGTAACCCTCTTATTTTGAGGATAAAGAAACGAAGAGATTGAATTAGGGTGCGCGAGGAATTCTCCTTGACACCTTCAATTTTCCTCCCTCCATTATATCAACCATTATTTAATTATTGCAAATATCATTCGAAATTAAAAATTAAAAATTATCATAGCAATCATTGAGGCCTCAAATTTTTTATAATTAAATTTAATCATTAACCAATTATAAATATATAAAATGACAAGTTTTAATGTAATTAAAATGTAATCACTCTTTACACCATGAATTAATACCGCGGCGTGAGCCTGACAGGTCTGAGAAGTTGCAAGAAGGAGGAGCATCGCGGAGCTGTCGCTTTTGATTATTAAAAAGATAACAAGCCCTCGGGACCTTCTTTACTTTTTCTTTCGCTTCCGTTCGTCCGACGGCACGGAAACGTCTTCAGCATAAAAGTGCACGGTTCTTCTTAATTCCGGCTAATTTAAGGTCGACGCGTTGATGAATCCTGCCCACGGGCAATACCGACGGTTCTGACAAGACTCATCATCCTGATAGTCATCTGACAAAATTGAAACCTTCTCTGACATAATTAATATATTTCTTTTTCTGAATAGGTATTAGGATATTTTTCGGAGAATAATTTTAAAAATATTCTGAAGGAAAATGAAAATAAATAAATTTGATATTTTATAAATAATAGTATTATAATAGTAATGTTTGTAAAATTATTTCAACTTTTTTTTACATTGATTGTTTAATATTTTTCTTAAAAAAGAATAATAAATTTAGATTGATAGAAAAAAGGGGTGACGCTGTTGAGTGTTCAATATTTTCGATAGAAACTGTCAGGATGTATCAACGGTTTGGTAGAGTCAAAGGAATCGAGAAGAACAAAGAGAGGGATATGGTAGAGGGAGGGCGAGTTCACTCACCATCACTAATTACTTTAGTCATCCCTCTTTAGCCCTCGACGTCCCTCTTAAACCCACCCTCGTCATAAACTGTAGTGAAGGCTCGAAGCTGAGTGAAACGGCAGCTTGCCTTCTCTTCTCTATCCCCCTTGCCATCGTGCTGCTTCTTAAAGTACAGACTACCCTTGGAAAAGCTTTATTATTATCATCCACCCGTACACCGCAAGTCTTTAATTAAATCTCGGGAAAGATTCATAAAACCGGTGTGATTACGAATACGAGCAAAAACGAAACTAATCGTTTAAGGGCTAGTAATGGGAAATGCGACCGTGAGGGGTGAGAAAATTGAAAATTTTTATATTTATGAATTTCCAAATTTCAAAATATAAAAATTTGAAACCCTTCCGAAATCTAATAATGAAATGTAGATAATTAGTAGATGGAGTTAGAAATCGTGTTATACAAAGATTGCAGAATATCAGGAAACTCGGCATCTGGTGTTCTCAGTCGAGTATTATATTAAGAGAAACAGAAGAGAGAAACTTGAGGGAGAAGAGAAAGCCATCATCGGACAATAATCGCTTTTATGGGTGTTCGTGTGGTGAACCGTGATATTAGATAGCAGCCAAGTGCGCAGAACCACACTCCTCAAATCGCACAACACTTCAACATACTCTCCGACAACTCGAAAACTCTTCTTTTTCCTATCTCGTTGCTACGTGAGAACAAATACAGTTGCCTTTAGAATCGAGTTTCACTCTTTCCACAACTGGGTTAATATTATTTTCAGATACTCGAAACTCTTTATTTTCAAAATTAAATTATCAAATTTCTAAATTTAAAAATCTGAAAGTTTGAAAATTAATAAATTTTCCTGACGACACGTCTGTTCAAGGTGTTAATAAAACCCAGAACCAATAATGGACAATGTCAAAAATTTAGCTGACCAATAACATTTCATCCCTTAACGATTTTATTGCAACAGCTCGTAAAGAACGTCCATAGGAATATCCGTAAAAGAAGAAGAGCTATTTGAACTTCCATGCTGGTACCATCAATTGTCGAAGAAGAAGCAGAAGAAGTATAGGGAAGGAAGAGAGAGAGAGAGGAAGCTTTTGTATGCGGATTACGAATTCGCAAGAACCGTCAATTTACTGAAACTCCAAAGTGGTATAGTTCTTGCAAGTATACGCGTACGTGTGTGCAGCAGTGTGTAGGTATGCGTGGTCCTTAGATTTTCTCGTAAAACCACGACGAGAGTGGGCCTGAACCAATGGCAGCAGAGGCATGGCGCTCGAGGTGTGAATTATACATGAGAGTATATCCTTCCGCACCCTTTCTCCCTCCCTAATTCACCCTCTTCCTCCAATTCCTCGTTTCCTCTCTCTCCATTCGACCTTTCGCTAACCAATGGTTATCTCTTACCCTTATTTGCGCCTCATTTACATACGACCATATGCTCGTACGTATGCAAAATGTATCAACCTACCGTTGATGCTCAACGAATACAAAGGGAATATTTTTCGGTTGCGAAAGATGGAGATGACTAACAGAAATGGACTTATTTTTTCAGATAAATTGGCCCAACTCCAAAAATTTGAACCCCTCATAATTTAGGATTCTAAGATTAAAAAATTATCAAGTTCTCACATTCACAAATTTTCAAATAGCTAAGTTCCCAAGTTCCCAAATTCCTAAATTCCCGAGATTCCCAAATTCCTCATATTCCGAAATTCTAATATTAAAAATATTTGACAAAAATCCTACTTACACCAATGACGGTGACTACCATCCAAAATTTCTTAAAATAATTTTGTTGACTATTTGAAAACCTGTACCTTAAAAAAATGTTCCTTTACAATGAAATGATAAATGATAATTCGAAAGCAAAATGCATTCCATCAGATATTTCGAGGTGAATCAGCAAACTACGCTCATGAAATCAAATGAAACTAACTTACAGTGGCATTTTCTGGGCATCGTTTAGTTTCATTAACGTGGTTGAAGCGAAGCTAGCCTGCTAGCGACGGCGTCGGAACGGCCGGCGTACGTGTACGCTCGTTCCCAGTATATGTGTGCAGCTAATGAACTGGCATCGCCCGATTAACCCCAAACCGTGGCTATTATATGCTTCTAGCTTCATGTGCACCTATGCCACGCTCTTTCTCCTATATACGTCGATGCGACACGCTGATATCTCGCGCGATCACCTCAAGTCTGATGCTTAGAAATGATGTGAAATATTTCAGAAATTCAACGAACAATAATTCATATAATAAAAAAATTTTTCAGTAACATCAATCGGATTTGAAAAAATTCTCAGTTGACGCGGGTGGAAATTCAGAGCCTAATTAATTCATCTCTTTATATCTCGCTGGTTACTTTTGCAAACTGTTGTTTCGATGCTCGTTGATGACGCTATAACCGCGTCACCTTTATTGGAATCGCTTTCAAAGTGCTTCATTAACCGTCGTTAATGACCCAGAGAAGCGTACAGTAGTCAGAATGAAAAGGAATGAGCGGAATTAGTAAATGAGCTGTTATGAGATAGCTCAGATGTTAATTATAACAGGAACATCAAAGCATTAGTGCATTGAAAGAGCAGCGACTCTTTTGTGAAATAAATTAGGTTTCTAATTGCAGTATAAGGAAACGTACACTTCCCAGAATGAATTAGCAATTAATACGCTATTAAAATCATGAAACGCGGTATAAAGCATCATGCTGACCTTTCACGCAGCTACGATGGCAACCGGTTGATCATGACAAGCACGTAGACGTTATATGCGCGCAAATTTACCTGAAGATGACACATTTGATTACACTGTCTTGCGTAATCATTACACAAGTTGATCATTTTAATTATTATAATCAGATGGGAAAATCATTCTACGTTTTTCAGTGGATATTTATGACATCATTCAATTGAAGACGTAAATTCCAAGACACAAATTTCAGTCAATATCTCAAGAAAAAATAATTTATGCTATTTGAAAATTTATAGCTTCAATTATTTATAGTAATGAACTTTCTTACCTGAGAATCCTTGAGACCGAGTTTCTCAGCCAGCTTCTTACGGTCCGGCTTGCTGATATACTTTTGTATCTGAAACCTTTTCTCAAGGCCACGTCGTTGAAGGTCCGAGAAAACTGCCCTTCTCATCATCCCTCTGCGAGGTTTTCCACGCGCGTTTGTCGCCCATGGAAACACGAGTCCTGTGCTCGCGAAATCGCCTAAACTTCCTTGAATCGCACCTGGAAATGCTGTCCCTCCACCTGGGGCACCGGGATGATGACCTCCAGTTCCAGAACTGGCAACTGATCGTTACACGTTTCAAGGTTAACAGTGTTTACGACTTTGAGGATCGCGTTGATTTATACTACAATAATTGTAATTACAAGAAGACTAATTTGCAATACATTTTATCACAACTGTAAAAACTGCATTTGAATTATTATAAAATTGCTATAACCTTTGATGAAACGAAAATCATTTTATCAAATATTTATGAAATAATGGCTGATAGCGAGTACATCAAAGATGTATTCGATAGTAATTGAATCAAAGTCATCTAATAACGAACGGGCAATTGAATCTCCAGATCGTATCTGTACAATATTGCCAAGCTGAGCATGACAGTATTATCTGCGCCGATGATATTTGCACGCACTTGTTGCATGCGTGCATTTTGCTTGTGGCGGTGCATGTACATAATATGGTGGTGCTTTCACTGCACTTCATATGCACTCCATGTTCCATACGAGCCTACGTATAACAAGATATTCGATAAACCCGTGCCCCCGTGCACGTGCCCGCCGTTTATAGGCTTTCGCGCCATGTGCGGAAATTTCCGTTTTAAATCCCGCTCGACCGGCACCGTGTTTCCGCTTCGCGTCCAACTTGTTTAATAATAATCTTTCACTCTGGTTTCCAACGAAAATATGACGCTAATTATTATTTTTTTTTTTTTTTTTAATAATAAATAAATATACCTGTTAAATAGGGACCTCTGTAGAATAATTGCTGTAACGTGTGATGGGCATTCGGGGGTAAATGACGTTGAGGGGGTTGATGACTCGGCCTGTGATAAGGATGATAAGCGGCAGGTCTTGCAATCGGTTTTGCGATATTATAATTCGCAGAATTCTGCAGGTTTTGGAGGAACGCTGGTATCGCTTCCGGCGGAAGGCTTTGAAAATTATCTGAAAAAAGAAAAGAAATACATTTCAGTGATTAATGAAACAATCTTTGTATAGGTAATCGATAGATTTTCACGAGAATGTACAAAATTAAATAGAGGAAATATAGATGGTAAAATTCGAGGGGGTTGAAAGATATTATTTAGCGAAAGATTGAAGCAAAGAAGGTGCGCTTTTTTCACGGACGAATTCACCGTCAAACGCCCAAGGTTCCGGATTTTCGCACGACAGAATGCTCAAGTCGTTGTATTCCTTGTGATGCATAATTCGAGCTGACACCCCCGACTAAACCCTCCTCAACAGCTCCAGGCGGAGCCCGACCTCTTGTTGACGCACGCTTCAACACCTCCAGAGTAAATACTCAGATATTTAGTGCGTGAAAACAGGTTGGATGTATTTCGTCTTTCAAGAATCGAAACGATATCGTTGCTTCTGACAGAGAACTGACAGAAATTTTGGAAAAAAGAAATTAAACAAACCTGAGTCTATCACCTGAGATACAATTAGGGTCAAAGGGATGAAAATTTATTTCACAAATCATTTTGTTCTTTGAGAAGGCAATCGTTTACGAGGTCGATACTTGGACGTATTCGCGACACATTTTTTCTCAGGTTCACCACGCCCAAGAGAGGATAAAGAAAAGGGCTGACGTGTTTGAAAATAATAAAATAATAGGATCCAGGGTAGGAGCAAGAAGGCAGAATCGAAGGACGAAGAGGAGAAAGAGAGGTTTTGCTTGTGCTTTGCGTTCATCCAGACAATGCTTTAACAATGGCCCATACACGACGTCCTATTGTGCCGGTGTACCCTATAAAATACTCATCGCCTTTTATCGTTGTTTTCGTAGCCAGCCAATAAGAGGAGGTTCCCTGGTAGAATCGCAAAGCCTGGCCAACTAATAACGGCTTAACCTCCAACGGAAACACTGAATGGGAATCGTTTTTTAAGCTGCTCCACCTCCTTCGAGCTCCCCTTAGCGACTCTTTCTCTCTAAATAAAATGCGAGGATATCTAGAACAGTGTTCGCGTGTTGTTACAGTTGTTAGAGGCTGTGCTTTTTTTTTTTTTTTTTCACAACCGGGCTTAGAGACCCTCCCTTTTCGTTTTTTCCCTTTTGGACTTGATCCGAGGTACAACATATCGGTGGTTATTCTTTGGGATTAGGGTATTTGATGCATTATTAAGTAGACACCGCTGCAGGTTTCTCCCCCCCTGATCAATGGGGACTTGAACGATTTATGCGCGGCAGGAAACGACGTTCCTAGATCCGACCTCCTAATAGAGAAGGATGTTTGTCTTAGCGCATGGTTAGCGAGCTGACGTTCCATCCTAGTTTATCGCGTTTGACGTGTTAACAGAGTTCAAGAAACCTTATAAAGGAATTCAACCCTTTTGGTACTACGAAGGCGGGATTTTGACAAAAGAGATAGAAGTACTGAATTCAAACATGATCGAAGGAAAAAAAAATATCTGTTAAAATAAAAGAGGACCGGCTATTTCGCCATCCATCTACATGAGTCTCGCACGGTGTCACGCTCGATATCGAAAAATATCAATAATAGTGACAAACAACAAGGAGAAAAAGCGGGGAGTGGGTAGGGGTTGAATAAAAGCGTGACATTCAAGAGAGGTAGAGGGACGGAGAAGAACAGAGGGAAAGAGTGCGAGGACCTGGTAAATCGCACAACGATTGGCGAAAATGCTAAATTTAACGTCGCTCTCCCGTCAAACGCCCATCCACTCCAGACCCTCCACCTCCCTCCGTCAATCCCACCCCCCCGCTGTACCGTCACGGTATTCGCTTGCATCCGTCGATGAATTTCGAGTTTGTTGCCAATCACTTTTTCGCGCAATTATTTCACAACATTTCGACATGACGTACAAACCGAGCGAAGCGAGCGATAGTAGCAAAGGGGGGAAGGTTTTTCCAGGAGGGCTGCAGGGGGACAGCTCGCGGACGCTGGAGGGTCTATCGGAGGCGATGGATTCACACAAGAGCAGAGGGTTGGGGGGGAGGGATGTAACACATGCACGTGGCACGGTCAATGCATCCGCTATCCGACAAATGCACGAAACCCCACCTAGTATTTCGAGCGCACCAAATTTCCCCGACTAACCGTCTCTCTTTAACCTAACGCCGTTCCTCTTCTACCGGCGCATGCATGCAATCCTCCAATGTTAAATGCAACATTTGCCTCTCCACCTATCTACCTTCGTCCCCCTGATGAACCATCGACCTCCCCCCCTCTTTCCCCATACTACAACCCCCTTCTCTCCGTCTCGCTCGTTTACTCTACACGTTTATGTATTTATCGTACGTGCATGAACTTTATCGACTCGTGTCAATCACTCGTTAGTGGTAGAGTAGGGAGAGGGTTGGGAGGGGTTGAAAAAAAAAAAGAACGATAGGGATGCAGAGATTGTATGGTTGATGTACAGTATAATGATTCGAGTTTCTTTTTTCGAATGAAAAATAACTATCTGGCAAGAGGGGTTGTTGATTTTTTTTAAAACCATCTGACAAATTTGAACCCTTTGCTGAAATCTGAGTGAATATTGTAAAATTTTCGAGATATTTCACACCGATCATCGTATCTATAAATATAAATGTTTAGTAATGATCGGTCCAATTTCGCGTTGGACGTCGCTGGAATTATAGTGAATAAGGAAACGCGATAAGAGGTAGGATAATACATCACTGGGTCCTGCCGCTTGTCTAATATTATAGGCACCAATCGTAAGGGCTTAATATTGGGGTGAAGGTAAGTGGCCGACCAGCTGACGTCCTGCTCCACCCTGCACGCACGCTGCGACTCGTCTTGAGGGTGTGCGGATGAGATTTAGGGACCGACGACAGAAGTCTGCTGGCGACACTGATTTGTGGTGAGCTTTGTTTCAACACTCTAAATACTACGGGACGAATAAGATTTTTCCGACGCGTATAGCAATATTTTCATACTAACACTATAAAGTTCAATTAGCAATGAACTTGACAAATTAAAATTAAGGCTCTCTCCATGGTCCGCCGTCCAAGCATATGTTAAAAAAGTAAATTGGTAGAAGATCTTCGTTATTCTATATCTTCACCTTAATTCGTGCATAAATCTACGTTCACCCCTTTGAAAATAAATAAATCAGATTTTTTTAATCCCTTAGGGGTCCTAAGTTAAAGCAATTACCGGAATGTGGTCGCCTGTCATGATTGCCGCCTAGAATAGCGTTGACGCTGAACTTGAGCTGCGGCTTCTCCTTCTCCTGGATGGTTCTGCATGCAGGTCCTAAGCACTGCTCATCCCCGCAGGAACAGGCGGACGTTCTCTCACCTATCCTGTCGACGACACGCTCAACCGCCACCTCTCTCTCCCCTTGAATCGTCATCTCGTCGGACGTGTGGATGACGTTTCTGCATCCAAGGTCGTACCGTCTGTCCTGTAACGTGGTAACCCGTTCACCGCCCAGCATACCATCCTCCTTTTCCCTATCCCCATGAAGTCCGCCGTCCATCTCCAAGCTGGTCGGATCCTCGTCGGCGTTCGAATTGCACGAATCGACAGCGGAGTTCGATCGGTTCTCGATCCTCTCGTTACACAGCCTCTCCATCGCGCACAACCGATCAACGATTACGTGGCCGTCGATCCTCTCGTTGTCCACGTCCACGTAAGCGATATGATTCCTCTCCATCTCCTCCTTGTGCCGAAGGATTTGTATCCGATCGTTTTGACGATCGATCCTGCCGGAACCCCTCTGATGGTCCCTGCAGTCGATCATCGGATTCCCTCGATCCGAACCACGTGTACCGGAGCTGGATCGCTGATCCAGCTGGTCCTGGTTCGCGCTCGACGGCGACACCTTCTCACGAGCGATCCTCAGGTTCGCCTCGCACTCTCTTTCCCGCTGTCTAGCCACGAGACTCGCTGCCCAGTTCAAGGTCAGACTGGTTAGATCGGCACCCGGCGACGCCTTGCTCTGGAGCAGATTCTCCATTAAAAAGGGCGAGGTCATTGCACTTTGTTGCAGATTCTTCAGCATCGCCGCTGACGAAGGAAACATATCACAACCCCCTGGCTACCAACCCACACTTTAACTCACTACGGTTGGTTTATTTCTTCTTCTGATCGCACAGTGCTTCTTTTACTTTTCTTCAATAATCTGAACGATTATTGAGAGCGTTTAACTGCGATTGTAAGTCCTTTTTAATTTGTCTTTTTCCATTTGTTTTGCACTTGAATGGTTGACGATCCTACCGATACTTCCTAACGAGATACAGTCGATCATTAATTAAACCAGATAAACAACAGCGATTTTCACAATCTCGAAGATCGACGTTACATATTCCACGGTGTGACACGAACGAGACAGAAACCGGAACCGCTAACGAACTGCACTTTTGTTTCCCGCTCCATTAACACGTTTCCTCGAGTCTCGGATAGAAATTGATCTGTGAATCGGCGTATGCGATCGCACCGCATGGCATCGTTTCACTTACGATCACAAGGTCCAGCACGTGGCGGCGGTGTTTCACTGGTACGCGCGAGGGAAACTATCCGCGTAACTGTCACTGGGAAACGCTGGGCTCGAGAAGGTACGTGCGATTTCGGCAGTGGAATGTCAACTGACGTGCATGCGAACCGCAGAGAGGCAGATAGAAAGAGGGATGGAAAGAGAGAGAAGGGGTGCTCGGAGTGTGGCAGCGCAACGTGAGAGCGTGCAACCCTCGAATGAAAGCCGACAAAGGCATATAGCTAGCACTCTTCCGCCCCTCTCTCCTCGTCGCCTAGATCCTCGAAACAACCCCCTTTAACGTATAGGCAGTGGCTTATGTGTACATAGAAGGGGAACGTAGTGTGTTGCCACCCCTCTGAACCTGGCGTGTATTCCCCCCCTCTCGCCCCTCTACGCCTATTTTCCTCTTAGGTGAGATAATACAGACTATAAGCCGAGCAATTCGGGGTTTGGCTCGCTCGGTAATGCCGTAATAAAATCATACTCCCATCAAACGGCGCTGCGCGGCAGACCCCCTTTAAAGGTAACGGAAGGGAGACGGAAGGCGAAAAGGGACGGAGCGAAGAAACGAGGAGTGGAGGGGTGCTGGAGGAAGCACGTACGTAGCAGGGGTGGCTCGGCAAGTGGCAAGGGAGGAAAAAAGCTAGGAGACTCGCATTCCTTTGCTCCTAACGATTGGATTTTATTTGACGAAGCCGACCAACGGTCCGTCCAATCGTCTGCTTCGGGGTAGTCCATGACCACGCCTATTCTACCCCTCTGAATCTCCACTGTTTTCTCTCTCTCCATCTTTCTTTCTTTCATCCCTTCGTTTCTCCCTCCCTCTCGGATCGTATTCCTGTATCCTTCTTCTTCTTCTTCTTCTCATCTAACCACCGTCCTTCTCCCTCTCCTATCCGTTTCGTTCACCAGCGAGTAGGGGTTGCCAAAGCGGTACTCTCTACACCCTTATCAACATTATTATCTCTCACTACCATCAACACGAGTGGCATACGTGTGTATAGTTTTATCGGTGTGGTTTAGCTACCCTGCCGCGTCTCTCTGTTTTCCTATGACTCTATATATGTGTTCGTGCGGGGGCGTACGTGTTGTACCAGATCGTTTCGCGCAATGTGATTTTCTTATAGGTATAATTATACCAGCCGAGCCCGGCCACTTTTCTCCTGCTTAAACCGACGTATAACGATTGCGGCGTCGGCTGATAATAACGGTTATAATAATAATAATAATATTAATACCCCAGGGTCGCTGAACGAACTTGGCGACGGTCCATGATTGGCTTTCCAATTGACTAAATATGATTTCATTGATTCTACGATATCTTTCAAATATTTATTTCAATGCCTTTTTATCTTAAATAATTCTTCCTCAAATTCTGATTATTTCAATACGTGAAAAATCTTGATATAAATTTAGAATTTAGAAAATAAAAATGAATATCAATGAGACTCTCTCCATGGTCCGTCGTTCGAGGGTTAACAGACAAATCCTAATGAGGTACAATCAAACCATCATCGTCGCGAAAGAGGTACATTCGTTTCTAAGAGTACACGATACCTTAAACGATCTTGTCGAAGACACCACCCCTTCCATAACGGATCATCGAAACAGGCGAAAATAACAATATCCGTGAAGAAGGAGCGCGTAGGATCGAAGTAGAGAATATATTCTCAGCCTTAAGTAGAATCGTGTAGCAGCGAAGGGTCGTGAAAAGAGGAGGGGTGGTCCATCGACTGCCGGTTCTCCGGGCTTTTTCTTACACGATTTTCCAGCCTCTATTGCGAGCTGGACCAGCGGGGTTGCCTGGCTGCCACGTGGTGGTGGAGAGCGGTGCAACCAACGGGAGCGTACCACGAGCCACCCTTTCCTCTCGATTCGACCCCTCGCACCCCCTTGCAGAGGGTGGGATGCCACGGCCACGCCTACCCTTCGGAATCACCTCTACCTCGTCGACGTCACGACTTATCACCCTCTCAGCGTGGATGGTGGTGGTGTCGAGGGGCGGCCGGGCAGACCGAGGGGGGTGAGGCCGGCGATACTTCGAAGAAGAGGAACCAAAGGCAAAAGCGGAGAAGGAAAAAAATAATGAAATGAACATCGCGGCTTTCGCGGAGGTGGGTGGAGGAAAATCGTGGAATTATTATAAGAGTTCCGGGGTTGAGGTTGCCACGGCTTATATAAATTGGGGGCGGATTCGTAGTAATCTCACGGAAAGGGGAGCAACGGGAAAAAGATTCGTTTTCTACCAGCCGGAGATAATTATTCATTCATCCAACCAGCCCGGAATGGAATATCAAAGTTTCAAAATGGGCGAATAATAGGGTTTTTCAGCGTGAAATGTTCCTCTTTATTTTTTTTTTTTTCTTTTCTCCTAGATATACCATATCCATTGAATTATTAAATTTAAAGAATTAACCGAGATAATATAATTAATACACTTGATTTTAATTAATATACCGCAATGATACAAAAGAAGGGGTGAGTGTCAACGAGGAAAATAGAAACCTTCTAGTATTACAGAATCCTGAATATTATTTAAATTTGCATATCAAAACTTTCCTACCGTCTTACTCGAAACTTCTTTGCGCTGCTCCGAGTAATGCTAATAAGGGCAAAACGTCTCTTACGAATTGATATTTAAACTTCAAGTTCTACAACCGATGAGTTGTACGAGCGAGGATCAAATTATCCCCGTCAGCATGTAAAATACTCGCGATAATCCGGCAATTCGAGTGCGGCAGGACTTCAATATTCCCGGAAAGGAAAGATTGCGACTCGTTTGAACGAGAAAAGGGGAGACGTCAAAATGAAGGCTTCCGAATAGAATAACCTTCGATTCGACACGTTCTTCTCGTAACATAATAATTTACCAAAAATATCCCCTGCGAGATACGAGGCGTCTCGCGTGAGGGATAATCGTGGGGGGAGGGCTAATAATATTATTCTGATAGGGTGCAGTTATGAGCATATGACGCCACCCGACTTATGTCTCCTCCCGTAACAGGTTGTCCATGTGTGTAATTGTATATTTTCCTCGCGCAAACGTGTGTCACGTTTATTGTTCTGCGTATCCGATACGAAGAAACGTGCATGAAATCGGCTTTATTGGATACATTCATCCCCTTGCTCAATAACGTGGCATTAAGTACGTATCAACTTCCATACGTTCTTCTAATAACTTCTTATTACCGTGTCGTTTCATAAATAATTGAAAACGAAATCAATTTCCAATACATTAATTTTCAAATTCTTAAATTATTCCAGCGAAGAGATTCTGTTTATAGAAGAGAAAAGTGAATACCGTTTGATAAGAAACGGCGAGACGGAAAACTGTGAAAGCGTGTGTAGCCTCGCGCGAGAAAGACGTATCGAGTGAGTAAGTTGTTAGGTATAGGTGGGCGGGTATATAAATTGTCACCTAGCAGTCGCACGTAGGGGCTGTCGCTACGGGTTCGAGATTGCTTTGTTTGGGATAAAGAACGGTACGAGAGGAAGTTGGTATAGAAGGATAATAAAGAAGAAGGGGGCGGACGGGAGAGAAGGGGAAAATCCGATATCTCGGTGAAATGAAAACTTTTTCTACAATACCGATGTACATCCTACGTATACATATCCTTAATACAATTCAAGACTTTCAATTTTTCTTTTACAATCCTAAATTCAACAAAGTGTAATCATTTTCTTTTTTAACCCTCGAAGGACGGACCATGGAGAGTGTCCTAATTTTAATTTAACCCAGCCTTCTAAACCAAAATTATTTTTCTTATCAAATAAATGCGTCGAATTAAAAATAAAAATGAAAAAAAAATCTGGATTATTTAGTTGGATGTTCTCACGTTGAAAACATATGTTAAACGATTGTACCGTGGAACAGTGTCGTACAGGGTGGTCACGTATGTCGTTCGAAAGGAAATGTAACGAAAGAAAAAAACTATGGTTTGCCGTTTACCGGGCTGTTCTGAAAGGATCGAGCGGGGAAAGGGTGAGAAAACAATTTTCAGCTGGCTCGTGCTCGGCCTTCGAAACGGGGCGCTTACCGCCGCTCATAGACACGTTCTCGCAGTTTTTGCCTGCCTTCCGGCAGCTCGAAAGGCTGCTGCTTTTAAAGAAGCTTCGCGCGTTCGCAGGCATGATTCACGCTACGAATCGCCGCCGCTTCGGAACCTTTTTCCAGTCTCCTCTGTGTTTTCACCACTCTTTTATGGAAACGTTCGCTCAGAGATTAAGGTTTTTTCAATTATTTGCAAGAGAATTTTCCCGGCGAAATGTTGTTTCAACTAGACTTGAAACGAAATTCTCTAATTAAGGCATCCTTTGATGCCAATTTTTTCTAAATTTCCAGTTTTCCATTTCCAATTTCTTAAATTTCTACGCTTGGAAATTTGAAAATTTCAAATTTATTTCCCACCCCTCTGTCCTCGTCATCTTCGGAGGAGCACACCTCCAAACGACCCAATTTACTATTAATCTAACCGAAAAGGAAACGGGTACGCGTATGAAAATGAAGGATGAAATTACAGGCTGTCCATCCTAGCTAGGCATCAAGGCGAGTTGGAAATTGTTTCGGCTGGTAGGAACCTTTCCAGTTTCCGCTGGTTGCGGGATGTGTGCGCCTTGCGTGACACTTGAACTCTCAGCCGCCACACCTCCGCCGTTGAATACATGAAATCGCGAAAAAGAGAGAGAACAGCGAGGGGAGGAGACGGAGAGACTCGAAGGGTTCGTGTTAATTAATATCACGTCACACGCG